GGCAAAATTTTCATGGGCGCAACCCACATACTCAGCTCTGCTGCTCATCCCACAAATGCATGTTCCTTACAAGTGTGGCACCATTTAAAAGGGAAATAAGCAGGTTTTCCAACGGTATAAGATTTATTGCCAAGAAGCATTGTTACAACAAAGAAATAATCTACCAAACACAAATTTCCTTACTTTTTGTGCTATGTTTTTATAGTGTATTTATATATATATATATATATATTACCACGTTTGCCTCGATGATATACATAAAAAGGAAGATCATACATCCAATATATTTCTGCGTGTGTGTGTATGTGTGTGTGTGTGTGTGTGTGTTTGTGCTCACATGCCAGCATCACTGTGCAATGAATGAATGAGCTGCACCTAATTTCATTGTCTCATCCGTTCGTTTTTCTATTTTCACGTGTGCCCGACGAGCCGAGGAGTTTTCATTCAGCCTCTTTAAACTTTTATCTGGACTGCAGGATAAAACGGTGAGGTGAATCCTTGTCTCTCGGAGAGTTGATCGCTCGAATCGTTTTGAGTTTTGTGGGGCTGTTAAAAAACGAATTTCTGTATCTGTGTTCTAGTTGCAAAAGTCTTATCAAAGCACAATACCGCCAGTATGTAGAGGTGATGTAAAAGACAACGTACTATTCTTCTTGATATATTGTCATATTATTAATATCGTGTTGATCGGAATGTTTTTCGGTTGTTTTTCTTTCTTTCATATAAAACATACTCGAAATTGCCTGATAATCCTGTCTCCATCTTCCAGGTAATAGGCTGGTCTATTTAGTTATCAAAGCATAAATAAAATCTAAATATCATTTTGGAAATTGTTCTTCTTCTGAGGTTTTATTCTTATCAGTTATTTGCCTCTCTAAAAACCTTTATTTGTCGTTTGGTCAAAGAGGTAAACAGGGAAAGCAAAGCATTTTTCAACTCACGTATACTGTGCAAATGTTCATTTTTAATCACAAGTATAGCTCTTAGAGAATCTGATTAGGCATTTTGCTATCTCCATTTTTTGTAATCAACATTTTATCTTGTGTTTTCATGCATACAACATTTTCTTGGAATTAAATCAGCATTGAGGGTTTGGGGCCAGGCGTCTGGTATTAAAATAGATATTACTTATCTGCTTCAACCATTCATTTGGGCTGCAGTCAAGCAGCTGCAAGCCACAACATTGGTCATTTTGAGCTCCACGCTCTTGAGATGTAATTACAATTTCTTTGCTGCAGTATGACAAAAGGATGGATGAGAAATATCCTGCTGCACAGCCAATACAAGTTTTATCAAGATTGTCAATCAGCCAGCAGCCGCACATTCTGGACGGCTGCTCTCATATTCTACTGTACATCTGGTGCTGCCGGCTGCCACACTTGTGTTAGTAAAGCAGCTTGGTGATGCATGACGGTGAATATTAGAGCCCAGTTATGCACCCTTAATACATGGTCTGCCTTGAAATCATGTTTGTTGCTCAGCCGGCTGCACATCAGTCCACTGCTATACCAGACACTGAGGGTTATATTCGAGGACAGAAGTTTACTTTTTTTCAAATGATTTTTTCATGACTTCTTTTAGTGGTGAAACCAAACTTCGACTTAGTTCAGCAAATGCGAACGTGCATTCATTTTTTATCATTCAGATGAATAACCGCGCATTAATATACAAGGTGTTAAAGCTCCCGGGAACCAGCTCCGACATCTGATGAAGATTTTTCTTGTTTGGAATGTCTGAAACATGATGGTGCCCCCTGATGGTTTTATTATGTTCTGTTGTACCTGCCAAGAAGACTAATTAATCAAGAAAATAAAAGATGATGCTGTTCATTTCCTGCGGGCATTTGTGTGTTTGTCTGGGCGACGGTCGTGGACTCACAAGCTTCTCAGGGGGGATGGTCAGAATACGGGAGATAAAGCCTGCGGGAGATGCTTGCTGCTTTCCCGATAAGGTAAAGCAGGTGTATGTGGGGTTTACCAGCGGGACTTCAGACGACCTGAAAAATCTCTCCAAAAATGATGGATGAGGAAAGATTTCCTGCAGTTTTGGTGGTCTTATTTCACGTGATGTTAGCAGATCCAGAAATCTTGGCAACCGCGTCTCTCCTCTCTAAATGAGGTTAAATCACTCTATGTGCCCTCATTTAGCCCCCCAATATATGAAGATCAGAGAGGACTGCTCCCTCCTTGCTTTCACCTTGTTAGCTGACACGCAGCCAATCTGAAGACGGTGTAAAGGAAAGATGAATCTGTACTGGAATCCATCCCAAACTGCCTGCCCTTCTGAAATGGCCGTAACACCCTCAGCTAATCACTCCGGGCAGCAGGATGTGATGGAAAGGAATGCAGGCAACCTCTAATGTTTGTTTCTATATTTTAATGAGACTCGTGCATGTGCATGTTCTCGCCCACGTCTGCCGCTTTTATTCGCGCCCTCTGCTGTCACTGAACATGCTCTCGCACTAGATCTTTGTGTGTCAGAGTTAATGTCCTCCTAATCCTTTATCACATCTCATTATCTGCAGCAACAAGGAGATTACGCTCTTCTTTAACAGTTCCTTGATGTGGCGCACAGTGTGCTGCCATTTCCAATAACTAGATTAACGCACACAATTAAAATCACTGAGCCACAATCTGTTCCGTTTTGTGTCAATTCACAGAAGCAGCATAATGGGTTAACTTTACCGAGTACCAAAGGGTTGTTTTGACCCAGTGTTATTTTTTTATATAACTGTTGGGTTACTTACCTGTATTTTAAAATAATAAAACATATATGGTTATGTTGACCCAGTGTTAGACAAATCAAATTCAAGGTTTGACTTAAAACTGTTTGCAACTGGGTAACATCAAATAGTACATGTATTCACTATAGCTACTTAAGAACAAATCTGAGGTATTTGTACTTTACTTCAGTAATTCTATTTTATGCAACTTTATAGTACTTTTTACTCCACTACATGTATATAACTGCTTGGTGAATTTGCTGTTTTATATATTATTAATGCAAAATATAATCAACATATAGTTTATGACGTATTACCGTACAGATTAAACTACCGGGCAGCATATAAAGTAGTTCAAATTAGCACCTTTACCAACTGCTATATTTAGGTGGTGTTTTTTCTTTCTTTTTTTAAAGTATGTTAAATTGAATGCAAGACTTCACTTGCACACTGTGGTATTATTACTTTTCCTGAAGTTAAATGTCTAACTAGCTCTTGCACCTGTGCCCAACATTTGAAAAAAAAAAACACCCCATTGTCTTGATTTTCTACCCAGAGGTTCTGGGTAAAGTTAAGCGCATATACTGACCCAGAATATGTGATTCGTATAGTGGCCGTTAGACTGTTTTGTGTTACTGAATCTTTACTGTACAGAGATGAATTGAAGCTCCAGCTTGTCTCTGTGCTCTCACTCCTCCCAGCATGTCAGATGAGTCACGTTTATGGTATAAATTTATCCTGTCAGATCTCTCAGTGCAATTAGGATGCTCAGCCGTTTGTCATAGATAAGGCTGCAGCTCGGCTCCTCTGGGCTTCACTTTACATTCTGCTCATTAGGATTGATAAATACAGCGCAGTCAACGTTCTCAGCACCGAGAAATGCTATATTCAGACTTGAGTCTGCCTGATTTGTCCTTTCACTTGTTTGAAGTATGAACCCTTATAATTTAATATCCAGGCTGTCAGTATAGGCTTGTCGAGGATACACATTATCACCTGCCATCTCTCTCACACACGCAGGGGCTTAAACACCTCTCTGGAGATTTGAATCACAATGGAGCAAATCTGATACTTTTTTGCTCCATGAATGAAAACTTTACAACATCTTGCTCCAATGCACAAAAAAAACGTAATGTATCCCCCCTCCTCCCTTGGATGTACCCTCACAAGTATGTTCTGATCAAACGCAAGCATGCTGTGCAAACAGATGGAATGACATGTTTTGTGCTGTTATAATGTTAATTGGAGGGAAGTGTAATGACATTAAAGTTCGGAAACAAGAAAGTGTTTGAGCCTGCGGCTGACTTGGACGTCAGCCGCTGCGCTAACTTGTTGTCTAATTGTTAATTTAGAAGCCAGAGGTTCTTTCTTCAGATGAAACATTATATGATTATATGCACTTAGAGGAGGTCAACTAATACTGTTTCAGTTAAACAACCATCCAGTTTGGAGGTGCTGTGGTTGTGATTTAGTTATTCATGAACCCCTGCTGTGTTGAAAGAAAATATAATGTCTGTGATTTTTGTGATAACTCAGACCGAGAGTTGATATTCAGTAGGAGCACATGTGACTTTCAAGGCATTAACTGATCAATTAATTAAATAAAAGCTCCAATTATTCAAAGAATTGTGTTTTTATTATCAGGCATTTTGGTTGTGTGTTTGTTTAGTATCTTTCTGAATTGAATGAAAGAGATATTGCAACGTTTGTTTTTTATCTTTTTTTCCATATTTCATCATCATATTTTTCCATTGACATTCATAGTTAAGATTGCATAGGTTAAAATGAACACTTTTATTTCATTATATCCCACATCTGATACACATTTCTTATACACTTTTCTGTAGGAGCTCAAGATGCTGTTTCGTGAAATCAAGAAATCAAGTTTTCTTGCAGGCAGTGAACAGATCACATTTGCCACATTTCAAAAAGAAAAAAAGTGATTAAATGTTCAGAAAATGTGCATACAGCAGAGTAGAAAGAACAATATTTTTCATAGTATATAGTTATACATAGTTATAGTATCGCATTACACATAATATAAGTTGACTATGTTCGAATGTGAACTAGTTGATTATGTAATTTGTTACTAATGTGCTGTGGTTTATATTCAGTATCTTACTATATTTCAGGATCATGTTACTTTTGGGTATTTGACACCGTTTTAACTACTATAGTTGTACGACAGTACCGCAGACATCCAGCAGGGAGCGCTGGGGGAATTGTCACCACCACCAAACTGTGTTCTCGTTCTCGCGATAGCTCCGTGCCTCTACCGGCGGCGACATTCAGAGAGGAGATGGCGGCCAGAGGGGGGTTTCAGTCAGCACCGACTGTTGGTGGCGGTGGAGCTATGGGACCCGGACCACCGGTACCGGGCGTAGGACCAGGCATGGGACCCGGGACTCCTTCTGGAAGGATGGTACCGTCGTCGGCCGTGCAGAACCACATGTACCGCTCCCCAATGCCCGGGCCTGGGTACCCGGTGAGATATCACTCCATCTTTGCTGCTGACGCGCTAGCCAGTCCGCTAGAACAAAGCCTCTTACCGCTGCTTTGTCACTAGCGGCTAACGTTAACCACCGACACCGACACGGGCCACAGCTCACTGGAGCTGGAGAAGTTCACACCCATCAGACGCGTTTAAAGAGTCGACTAACTCTTACTAGAGTCTGTTTGTTGTTTGAATTTGCTAACCCTCCCGCCCGCTAACATTATTCTGAGCTAGTTAGTCACGGTAGCCAATTAGCTTAGCCGGCTATCGTCGCTAGCATTAGCTGGTAACTGTGTTCCGCTCAGTTTACTTGCTGAAACATGATTCAAATATATTTTGAGTGGTTTCTAAACAGTGCGATGAAGGGAGCCTTTAATGATAAACGTCGAACTTTAGAAAGTTCAGGCTTTGCTTGAATGCAAAAGTTGGCTTTTATAGTTACTATGTCTGGTCCACTTTTGAATGAATCTGCTGCACGAAGCCTCAGTTTGTATCAGTGCAGAGCCTCTCGTGTGTCCCTGTGTGCTTCACATTAACATTAGTCTGTTGTGTGCCACCCTGCAGAAGCAACGTCAGCGCCTTCCTTTGGTAAACTTTGTGTCACCCGGCTTGTAAAGGTGTTACACAACATAATAAGTGGACCCAGGTGGTTTATAAAAACTGTGTTAATCCATTGGCATCAAACGTGTAAACTTTTGTTTAAAGCAGTGTGATACATTGTTGATGATATAAGTCTGAATTTCAGCTCGTGTATTATATTGAACAATGGAGGCTGTAGCTAACGAGCACAATGTTTAAACTATGTGAAACACTGAAAGGTTTGCCATGTTACTGATATCTTTGATGTTTTTGTCGGGGTAAGGAGAGGAAACGATCAATTTGATCCCAGAATCAGGTCATCTGTACTTTGCGTTAGGCAGGCAACAAACTTTTTCCCATATGGAAAGAGACATTTTCAAGTCGTTAATATTTCTCAAAATGTGTAAGAGATATTTGGAAAGGAGGTGAAATTGTTGTCTTCCAGTCTTTGGCACTCTGTGTGTCTGGCAGCGTTCCCAACATCAAAGCTGATTGTGAATAGTGAGGGTGAAGGCCCCTGAGCATCCGTAAATAATCAAGTCCCTTTGAGGAAGGATAGTTTGTTTACGCTCCGGAAAACAAGTCATAGGATATTCATACAAAATTAAATGTCACATTGTGGGGCAATCCCCAAATATATGTAATCTGTCTATGCGCTTCATTCATTGTTGAATGCCTTTAGCATGATTATATAGACCTGAGTGGTTGTTGTTATAGTAAAAGTATTATACAGTATGTTGAATTATGGAGGCTCCGTCTGATTGTTTCCAACTTGATCCAAACATTTCCAGATCATTGTAAAGTCCAAAAGTTAAAATGTATTGATAAAAACAGATGGAATCATTTCCAAAATCTACAACATGTTATTATTGAACAAACTATTCTCCTTCAGTCCACATGTGTTGGTGTTTAGCCTTTCAAAACCATTTTCACTGTAGTCGAAAACATTTCTCTCACACAAAGAGGCAAGCACCTGCATTAACAGAGCGCTCCTGCAGCAATCTACCTGCACCATAAATCACATTTACATAACAGTAGATACAACCATCATTCAAACACCTCAGTAGGAGCTTCAGATGTTAAAAAGAGAGATCTGGTACAGCCCGAGTTGTTATCCTGTCATGCATGCTGCTACTAAGTGATTTGTATAGATTTGTGAATAGACCCTGGCAGATAATACCTTTTTTTTTTTTTTTTTTTTTTTTTTTTTTAAGTAATCCAATCTGTGGCTCTGTGTATTTTCTAATAGTTCAGTACTAATTGTATCTGATCTTGTCAGTGCAGATGTAGTCTAAAGAGACATTTATCGTGTATCCACGGTATTTGAAAAGTGTGCTGCCTAGCTACTGGCAACCTGAAACATAGTTTAGTGAAAGGATGTTACATCTTTTTTTTTTTTTTTCCTCCAGCGTCCTTGGCTGCTTTCACTCACACAAGCAGCCTTTCTCTACTCACTCGAAGTGGCTTCATACTCTGAATACTGCAGAAATCCAGTTGTTCAGCGGTAAACCAAGGTTGTACCATTCATATTATAAAGAGCACCAAATTATCGAAATTGCGGCTCCTCTGCCCACACTGCGCTGTGTGGAAAAGGCAGAGCCAACTCATCTAGCTTGTCTTGTTGACAAGTCGATGTCCGTCACTCTTCCAGCCCCCCCCACCCCCACCACCACCACACGCTGGAGAAAGGGTGTGTTTTTCGTTCATCTCTCTCAGTTGTTGAACTGACTGCTGGAGGGAAAGCTGCAGTCAGTGATTTGTCATTTATCTGTATTTCTCACCTGCACTCATGCAGTCAAATACACAAAGTCGCCTGTTTGAGTTCTTAGTGCTGGGCTTGGTGAGTTGGGATTTGTTCTGTATTAACTTGTTTGAAGGAGCCGGCATGAACGTTGTTCCCGTCTCTTCTTGTAGGAGGAAAGTATGCGGATGTGATGATTTAAAAAGCAGGGTTTGTTTTTTTCTGTAAACACTACAGAGCTGCTATTTGTTCTATTGTACTTGAAAATGTGTTGTGCAAAATGAGTTTGGATCAGTTGTGAATGAATAGATTAACATCAGAGCTCAGCAGAATGTGTTACGGTTATTACTGATGAGCAAGATTGGTGGAAGGTTTGTAGGATTGATGATTTCTCTGATGTGGATTTTCATAAGCATGGCAGCCTTCTTATAAAGTTCTCTCATATATAATTACAATGTCTTTGATTATGGGACAAAAAAATGTTGCATTAGGTAACAGTGAAAAAACGGCTGCCGGAATTTGCAATGCCCAATGTGCTTAACAGAATATATTCTACAGTTGTGTGAAAAAGTGCCCCCTTCCTGATTTCTTATTTTTTTGCATGTTTGTCACACTTAAATGTTTCAGATCATCAAACAAATTTAAATATTAGACAAAGATAACACAAGTAAACACAAAATGCAGTTTTTAAATGAAGGTTTTTATTATTAAGGGGAAAAAAAAATTCAAACCTACATGGCCCTGTGTGAAAAAGTGATTGCCACCCCCTGTTAAAACATAAATTAACTGCGGTTTATCACATCTTTGGAATGCTGAGTTCAATTTCTCTAGCCACACCCAGGCCTGATTACTGCCACACCTGTTCTCAATCAAGAAATCACTTAAATAGGACCTGCCTGACAAAGTGAGGTAGACCAAAAGATCCTCAAAAGCTAGACATCATGCTGCGATCCAAAGAAATTCAGGAACAAATGAGAAACAAAGTAATTGAGATCTATCAGTCTGGAAAAGGTTCTTCAAAAAGAACATAAAGGCTCGTCTCAGTTTTGCCAGAAAACATCTTGATGATCCCCAAGACTTTTGGAAAATACTCTGTGGACTGACGAGACAAAAGTTGAACTTTTTGGAAGGTGTATGTCCCATTACATCTGGCGTAAAAGTAACACGGCATTTCAGAAAAGGAACATCATACCAACAGTAAAATATGGTGGTGGTAGTGTGATGGTCTGGGGCTGTTTTGCTGCTTCAGGACCTGGAAGACTTGCTGTGGTAAATGGAACCATGAATTCTGCTGTCTACCAAAAAATCCTGAAGGAGAATGTCTGGCCATCTGTTCGTGACCTCAAGCTGAAGCGCACTTGGGTTCTGCAGCAGGACAATGATCCAAAACACACCAGCAAGTCCACCTCTGAATGGCTTAAGAAAAACAAAAATGAAGACTTTGGAGTGGCCTAGTCAAAGTCCCAACCTGAATCCGATTGAGATGCTGTGGCATGACCTTAAAAAGGCGGTTCATGCTCGAAAACCCTCCAATGTGGCTGAATTACAACAATTCTGCAAAGATGAGTGGGCCAAAATTCCTCTACAGCGCTGTAAAAGACTCATTGCCAGTTATCGCAAACGCTTGATTGCAGTTGTTGCTGCTAAGGGTGGCCCAACCAGTTATTAGGTTTAGGTGGCAATCACTTTTTCACACAGGGAGTAGATTTGGATTTTTTTTCCCCCTTAATAATAAAAACCTTCATTTAAAAACTGCATTTTGTGTTTACTTGTATTAACTTTGTCTAATATTTAAATTTGTTTGATGATCTGAAACATTTAAGTGTGACAAACATGCAAAAAAATAAGAAATCAGGAAGGGGGCAAACACTTTTTCACACAACTATATTTATAGTACTTTAATGTTAGGCAAGGAAAAGCACGTTTGAGAAGCTAAAAACCATCCATTTCTTTTCAATTCTGAAAAATAATTTCCCCTATATATTCTATGCAGAGACCAGGCATGCCTCCATCCAGCCGCATGACCCCACAAGGACCAGCCATGGGCCCCCCAGGATACGGCAACAGCCCCGTGTCTCGTCCTGTGATGCCCGGCGTAATGGACCCGTCTCGCAAGAGGCCCGCCCCCCAACAGATCCAGCAGGTTCAGCAGCAGAACCGCAACCAGCAGTAAGTCATCCCGACCCATACAGAAGATCAATATTCACAGCTTTACTTTTATTATGGGCTTTCTTTTGTATTAAACGGCGTAAAAAAAATAGTGTTTTGATTGTGAATACGCTCTGCAGCCGCCCACTCCGTCAGACACGCCATCCTGCACTCGTCCACTGCTTCATCACTGTCACCCAAAACCATGTTTCCTAATAAAATCTCTCTTTACTGTCTCAGATTGAAGAAAAGGGGACTTTTCTTAATGGAAATAGTTATTTTTTATAAAGAAATGCTTTGATCGGAGTGATCTGGCCTTATTAAATGTCCTTAAACTTACAGAAAGATTCATCAGTGTTGAGATGAAATGATTAATTGAAAAGACTGAAATTTAGTTGGCAACTATTTTGATCTCATCTGATCTCTTCTTGAGCAAAATGACAAACATCCGGTGGCTTCAGCCTCTCAAATATGAGGGTTTGCTGCTTGTCTCTGTTGTATATAACTGCACATTGAATATTTTTGGATCTTGGCTCGTTTGTTTGTCAAAATTAGCTATTTAAATACATTGTGGCTTTAGTGCAAAGGAATGTCATAATATCCCTATTTCTGATGTGTTATAGAAACAATTATAAGATTCATTGAGAAAATAATCAACAGATGAATCAATAGCCCTATTGATATTTAAATGAAATGTATTTAATAGATTCAAAGGGATGCACAGCAAAATGCAGTTGTAGCACATCTTTTACACAAACAAAACACAAACAAAACCAGAACAGTAGTGCATCCCATAATGTATGTTTTGAATTTGCATCAGGAGGAATGTAAACGGCAGCAACAAAAACAAGTCTCTGGGCAGAAAATATGTTTAACATAAAAACTGTAACATCAGGAAAACACTGTTCCCGGTTGTTTTTTGACTTTGATTGAGCTTCAAGCATCATTGATGCCCACGTTTCCTCTTCCGGTGCTGCTGAATGTGCTCTCTCATATGCCGTGATTGCTTGATTGATGATAATAACTGCCCACGTTAAGGTATAGCTGTATTCTACATTTAGTTTTGAACCTGTGTGATCACACTTATTCAGATTATTTTAATCCAGCACTACTCCTCTTTGACTAACATTCAAATTTAATAATTTGTCTTTACAGCACAAAGAAGAAGAAGATGGCTGATAAAATTCTACCTCAGAGGGTGAGTGTTATTTAAGCAGCAGTCCATGGAAGTCCATTGATCCGGGCCTTCATTGTGTCGGAGAGATTACAATTACTCGTCCATTTATATTTTAATCGAGGGGGCTTTTTTTACTACAGCTTTTTTTACTAAGTACTACAAGTGCGAGTGCTGTAAGCAACTAAGATGACTTATTTGTAGCGGTGCAACGGATCATAAAACTCACGGTTCACACTTTTTAAATGATTATGAAATAAAAGATTGTATTTCTATTGATAAAAACAAATACTGTAATTGGTTTGAATGATGCTTGTGTAAACAGCTGGTCACCAGTGTATTTCGTTGTGTCCTAGATCAGGGAACTGGTCCCAGAGTCTCAGGCTTACATGGATCTGCTGGCTTTTGAGAGGAAGCTGGATCAGACCATCATGCGCAAGAGGCTGGACATTCAGGAGGCCCTCAAGAGGCCCATTAAGGTATGGATCAAATGCAGTCTGCACTCCTGGAATCCCTCAATCACTCCGCTTCAGACCTGAAATTAATTACAAAGCCCCCAGAGGCCTCCATCCATCCCCATAACTGCACATTTAAAATTGATGTAATTCAGTGAAGGCGTGTAAAAATGCCCACAGCACTATGAGTTCAGACGTATCACTGGTTACCGTGTAAAGGTGGATTTGTTTATTGCTCTTGAACCAGGCTTCAATACGTACGTGGTTAGGTGGACAACATGCCTCGCAGATGTCCTCTCGGTGTCCGTCTTCAGCAGACCAATACATTGATTTAATCTTAAATTAAGCTGCACGCTAACTTACCTTTCCTTGTTTGTGCACATGCGCTGATTATCGGTGTAGATAACAAGTTAGTGTTGAGTGAATGATAGCCCCTCAATTTAAAGTTTGTTTTGGTTGTTTTCCAGCAAAAGAGAAAGCTTCGGATCTTCATATCGAACACCTTTAACCCCGCAAAGCCAGACGCCGAGGACGGAGAGGGCACAGTGGCATCATGGGAGCTACGTGTTGAGGGGCGTCTGCTGGAAGATGTAAGCTTCATCATTGAAACATATTGGTTTATATGAATGTCTTCTGTGTGTACAGTTTTGGATATGAGTTAACATGTAAGCTGCTTGAACAGTAGTTTACATTTATTCCAGAGCGCTGCTTATATAACCAACCACATTGAGCCAAAACTATGAAACAAAAAGTCTTTATACTTAAAGTTCTAATGTTTTACACAGATTATGATTTCAATTATATTTCCACTTCCTGTAACATTTGCTTTGCAGACGGCTGTGTCCAAGTATGAAGCCACCAAACAGAAGCGGAAGTTCTCCTCTTTCTTCAAGTCTCTGGTGATCGAGTTGGACAAGGACTTGTATGGTCCAGATAATCACCTTGTGGAAGTAAGAGTTTATTATGTGCATCCTAATACACAAGCAGGTATTTACCCAGTTATCCCCTTTAATTATGAAAAGAGCGTTCACTGTTTGTCTGTCTTTTTTCTGCTCTTAAATTTGCATCTAGCTAGCTCTAGGTGACCTCTTCATCAGACCAACAATCCAAAACCTAAAGATATTCTGTTAATGATCATTTAAGACAGAAAATGCAGGAAATCTCACGCTTTATATCCTTATATCATCTAAAATGTGGATAAATGTATTATCAAAATAGTTGCCAACTAATCATTTCAGCTCTAGTTAAACCCAGTAAATACTTGTGTGTATAAATGCGATGTATAAATACGTAACAAATGTTTGAAATGTTATTTTAGTGGCACAGGACTGCCACCACCCAGGAGACGGATGGTTTCCAGGTGAAGAGGCCCGGTGATGTGGGTGTTCGCTGCACCGTCCTGCTCATGCTCGACTACCAGGTAAAGACATGCTCGGGGTTTACTCCACCTCTCAGAAGGCCCTGTGATTCAAGTGCTTTTCAAACCTTTAGTTGTTGGCTTCATATCAAACCAATCTTTCTTGTGTACCAAACAGCCCCCTCAGTTCAAGCTGGACCCCCGGCTGGCTCGTATGCTGGGTATCCACACCCAGACCAGACCGGTCATCATTCAGGCTCTGTGGCAGTACGTCAAGACCCACAAGCTCCAAGACCCTCATGAGCGCGAGTTCATCAACTGTGACAAATACCTGCAGCAGGTGAGTCGAGTCCTTTTAGTAACATACCGCTCCTTAAGATTGTCATTACACTTCAGTGACGCATTTTGTTATTTAGAAACACACCAAAAGATAAACCTGATGGATACAAACTGTGGCCGTTGTATGAAGCTGGAATGAGCGACAGCCGCATAGTTGTCCCGGTTAATGGTGCTCTTGATGTTGTGCCATCTGTCTCTCTACCCGTCCCTCTGTCCTTGTATGGACTCTCTTCTCTCTGGCTCACTGACTGGTTTCCAGTGCTTTTCTGTCTGCTGGGTCAAGATGAACAGAGGATTGTGGAAAGCTAACGGTGAATTCCTACAAAGTGAACGAACGAAATCAATTCTCTGGTTAGCTTAGAGATTCTTGTAATTACAACAGTGATTTGTAATGAAGTAAAGATAGAACCATGAATTCAAAAGGATCAGTTTTGCTTTATTTTACCCTTGTATGCACGCTGTCAGTAAACATTCTCACACGTCTTGGTAGCGGAGGCGAACATGCGCTAGGACAAAAGAGTGGGTTATTGCAACTGTTGGCACAGAGGTGGGGTTGGTTCAAGCTATACACCTGTTACTGTGAAAATAAACATTAAATAGATCAAATAACTCGCACATTAGAGGCATAGTTAGTTTATATGTGAGTGATTAATAAAGAAATTAATTTAGAATACTACTTTGTCGTTTTCTTTTCAAAACAAACACAAGCACACATACTGAATGTGAGTCGACAGGAAGTTCAGCGCGCTCTTCCTTTGAACTCAAACCTGCCCCAGGGCTCGAGCCTTGAGGCCAAATAGAACACATTTTGAATATGTTGACATTAATAAAGCAGAGTAACTCAAACAGTTTCTCTGAAATCCCCAATTGTTTGACAAAAGACTTAAAGACAATTCTTTGATTTTATTTACTCTCTTGATGTCCAAATAGTATTTGCTACATTTGAATGGAAAGAGGCACATTTTTGCTTTGACTTATCATTAAGAAGTACATCTAGACAGCACTATTTAGATGTAAGGGCTATAGAATAATAAAACCATCTGCATTTAGATTGGTTCCCTTTAAGCCTCGCTTTCACTCAGCCCTTCTGTCTGCCACCGGGGAAATGAAGGCTCAATCACAGAGGAGTGGTGTCCACCACTGGAATAACCAAAACAGAGGCAGCGTAGTGCTTTTGTTTTCCTCGGGAGCTTTCAGTAGCTATCTCCAGTTACCAAAGAGTATCAATGTAAGTTCTTTGCGGTTACTATTCCCAGTATCTGAACAACCAAATGAACTGTGGAAAACAAAATGCAGTGTGTTGCCAATTTTTTCCCAATGAAAGTCGCGAGCACTCGCTCCAAAAGTTATCCGATGATGTCATACGCTTATTTTCTTATCAATTGCTTCAATGTGAATATATTTGCTTAAAGCTTCGTGGTTGTTTGGTAGTGTCTGTGGACTGTGATTGTGCAGCGTTGGGAATGATTTCTTTAAATGTGTTTCTTGTTTTTTGCCTGATCGGTCTGAGTAATGCCGCTTAATATGTCTAGTTTTGCTCATTTCTAGTCGTAGGCTCTGACAAAAGAACGGGGTGTTGGTTTCATTTGTGCAGATTTTTGAGACTCAGAGAATGAAGTTCTCCGAGATCCCGCAGCGCTTGCATGCACTCCTGATGCCCCCAGAGCCAATCATCATCAACCATGTGATCAGGTAACTTCACTACGGTGATGCATTAGGTTCTGATGTTAAAGTTGTGTTCTGGCTAATCTCCACATATAAAGAGAACTAAATGTGCGGTCTCCTGTTGTAGCGTTGACCCTAATGACCAAAAGAAGACCGCCTGCTATGACATTGACGTGGAGGTGGACGACACACTGAAGACCCAGATGAACTCCTTCCTGCTCTCCACAGCCAGTCAGCAGGAAATAGCAGGACTGGACAACAAGGTACAACAGAGAGCTTAGACGAACGTTAGCTTTGCCGGGATGGCTGTAATCGCATTGATAAGGCGCGGAGCCATTCCTCCTGTGACGTCTTTTGTCCTGAGTCAACATTGTAAATACAGAGAGCTTGTTTATAGTTTATCGGCGGCATTGATGTTGTGACTTTATTTTGGGTTTGGTGACCATTACTGATACACACCCGCTTCCTGCCGGCCTCATATCAGAACCGTAGCGTCTTAGTTTTCTCTGTATGTATATTGTCTTCTAATAAAATAAAACTGCTGATGTCAGGAATACTTGCTGTAAAATGGTTATTAAGGAAACTCCTCCTGTCTCTCTCCCCCCCCCCCCCTTTTTTCCCTGTGTCAGCGATGTTCCATTTAATTAATGCCGTATTAATTACTTTAAATTGATGACTCGTCTCTTTATTCTCTTTAATTCTTCTCAGATACATGAAACCATTGAGACCATTAACCAGCTGAAGACCCAGAGAGAGTTCATGTTGAATTTTGCCAGAGATCCTCAGGGCTTCATCAACGACTGGCTGCAGTCGCAGTGCAGAGACCTCAAGGTGAGTCCGTCCGTCACAACTGAGTCCTCGAGGCACTTAAAGCTTGTTTATCTGTGCTCTCGTATCTCAGCAGATACCAAACAAACACATCCACCACATGCAGTATATCACGGCTGTTTTGCATGCAGCGAGCATCCCTAAAGCTTTTGTCATTCAGACTCGTAAGCATACTGCCGTTTGGCATCAATGTTCAGCAGTTGTTCAGAGAGAAATCCATCATTGATAAGAAGAAGCGGCAATATGAGTCTGTCCACCGACATTAGCGTCAATAGATCTCAGCCAAAAGACTTTCAATGTTTTGAGTAAACAATGTGATTTACTGCTACTGCTGTTGCTCCATCTACATTCCTAATATCATTCATTTTCTCCATAGTGCAATTTCACTGTCACTGTTCTCTGTGCACACGGCATGATGTCATGATTATTTATCCCATCCTAGAAGAAAATTCCCTTCTGCCTGGAGACTTATTGCTTCTTTGATTTAAAGGTTTTAGGACGGAGGAGGTCATGCTGTACGGATCTGTGAAGCCCATTGAGGCAACTTTGTGATTTGGGTTCTTTAAATTGACAATCTGTAAAAAAAAAAAAAACATCTCTAATGCAGCACATTGTGTTGGCGTTTCAACAAAACATTGGGAAACGGAAGCAGATTAAGAAAGTGGATGCAATAAAAATAAACTTCTGCAGTGTTTAAAGTCACAGATGCATGATAACTACTCAGAGTATCTCAGAGGGAAACACTAAAACTACAGACACACACTTGACATGTAAATATTTAAGCTTGGTTCGTTTTAAGGTTCTGTGAGTTCATGTTTGAGGTTAATAATATTTGTTCTACTGGAGGTTTACTCTGGGAAGAGAGGACTTTATTACATATTAGTACGTGGACGTCGTGCTCTCTCTCATGTTGCTCACTCAGCTGTAACACAGGATCGCAAAGTCTAAATAAGAGCGTGAAACATTTAATAACACGTCCGCTGACTGAGCCCATTATCAGCTGACCAGCTGTCAACCACCTGCAGTGTTTGTTCAACCGAATCTCTGTGAAATTGAACAAATTCATTTCAAAGCTCGACAGCCAACCTTGTGCTCTTGCGACGATACGTTCGTCTCAGCTGCGGTCAGCGTTTGATAGATGTGTAAATGTGTCTTTTCTCTATTTACAGACCATGACAGATGTGGTAGCAAACCCAGAAGAAGAGCGGAGAGCAGAGTTTTACTACCAGCCGTGGGCTCAGGAGGCGGTCTGTCGCTACTTCTACTCCAAGGTAATTCACTTTGTTCCTCCTCCTACACTTTGGATTTCTTTATTTCTTCTTCTTTGGTCCTAACTGAATTATCTCAACAACTGTATTATGAAAGAGCATGACATGTTGATGACGTTCATGTTCCCCAGAGGCTGAATCCTTTCAACTCTAGTGAACCCCTGACTTTTCCTCTAGCGCCACACTGTTTCGTGAAAACAACTATTGCATAGGTTGCCATGAAATTTGGTTCAGTCATTAACGGTGATTTTTTTTTTTTGCCTGTAAGAAATCACCCCAAAAAATATAACTGGTTGGACTTGAAGAGACAATTCGCCAATTAATTTTTATATGAATGCACAATAAGTGCTGATGGTAAATGTAGTCCACTGAATAAATAGGTGTGTGCTATGTTGACCGAGTTAGCCGATGTCTCCCACTGCGGAGCCATTTACCAGAATGCATTGCATGCGAGCAGCAGGTTTGCTCAGTTTCTGCAGGGTCCCCACCGGCACAATCCTCTCCGCTGTAGCCTCGAGCGGCCTCTCTGCGGCTGAAAAAAAATAATAATAAAAATCATTGGCCATGACATCCTCTGCACTCACATGTTGGGAAGCCATTTTCCACTGTTGGAAAAGTAAAACAAGCAAAGAGAACGAGGAAGTTTAGTTTTCTTATAAAGTGATGAATGCCCATTATTTCCAGAGCCAAGGTGACAGAAGTAGTTATTGTTTCCAACAAACAATCCAAAACATATTAAATGTACTAACACTTACCACGAAGAAAGCAACAAATCCTCACCTTTGACAAGCTGAAGGCGGAGAATGTTTGTCATTTGTAATTACTAAAACAATAAATCACTTATAAAAGTAGATTGTTTTTCTGTTAAATCAACTTCATCTTGAGTGCTAATCAGCAACTGTTTGCATGCTAACACTAAACTAAGATGGTGGAAAGGATAAACGTGTCTTCTTAACATCAGCATGTTCGCATGGACAACCACTCATGGCCATTGTTGACCTTTTTATCATCGCATTGTGTTCTGCTGATTGAATCTTTTCTTTGTGTTTTTCAGGTCCAGCAGAGGCGACAGGAGCTGGAGACGGCGCTCGGCATCAGGAACACCTGAAGAGATTTATCCACGCAGACGACCGGCGTGCGAGCGTGTGCGGGATGTTCAAAATGAATTCCTCAGAGAGTTTTCTAACCGGCTTGGAGAGACATAGATACTAGATGGCTTTACCGTTATATAGGATCTCCTTTTTTGTTTTTGTTTTGTTTAAATTCACCCTGCAGCTCGACTACTGTTGCAGTGTGATTGCTACTTCCACTTTTCCACACCAGAGCTGCAATGTATTTTCTCTTGCATGTCTAAAGCCTTACCTGGAAGCATTCCCCTCATTTTGATACATTGTGCCCACACAGGAGTACGCATCGTACCCAAATGAAAAAGCAGAGGGCAACTTTTAATGTGTTCTGTCCCTGAATCTAAAAATATCTTCAATCAGCTGGAATGTGTTGATTCTGCCTTGACTCTCTGTTCCCCCTTTTTGGGGAAAGTAAATTTACATTTTACTCTCCCAACTCGGGATGCTTGCCCATTCAGTTAGATATCGATAGTGTTTGTAATCAATGGCCACTTTGTTGGCTGTTCATGTGTCACTTTGTCTTAAGCTCTCGTTGGTTAGTTCTGACAGTTTGTGCCACAGTCTGGTGTACGAGAGAGAAAGCTCAATCATGGCAAGATATACATCTTTTGTTGAGGGTGCCATTTATTATGAAGTTTTTCTTTTTTTTTCTTTTTTTGTTATCAATGATTCTTGTTTTAAAAGTATGTATTATATCAGTACTTGTCTTGTTAGCTAGTACAAATTATCAAGGAAGTAGCTAGTATGAGTACCTCTAGTCTATAGTTTTGTAAATACTGAGCAGAAAAAAACCTGAAGATGGATGTGAAGTAAAATTGTATCTTATCCTGGCAGATGTTTTTCTTAACTTTTTTTTTGTCAACGCTCAGATAGTTGAAGCAGTATTTATATTATTAATCAGCCCTCGCTGTCACAGCACGAGTTACTGCTCTGCGGGACGAGATGTACACAACATTCATGTCGCCTGCGAGCTGGGAAGAGTTAAATATTCTGCTTATAGTTTTGTGTATTTTTGATTATGTGCAGAGAAGCCATACACAGTGGAACAAGATTTAAGGAGTTGTAGCTTCTTCGTACGCTGGCTGAAGACTTTACACCTTGTTGAGTTTAATAGTTGTCGTTTCCCCGTTAAAGTTTAAAGATGAGTGTCCTGGCTGAAACTTTAGCGTGCATTTAATTAATGAATTCCAAGAATACACTAATGTGGGTTTGGGCAGGTACATGATTTGAAACATGTGGTGGGAACCTCTGGGGAGGGGGGGGGGGGGGGGGCTGTAGTACTATTTTAATCTGCAGACTTTTTCATGGACCAAACCTATTTTTCTGTATGTTCTTATGTTATAATAAAGGATATGTAAAATGTTCATGTCTGACAGTGATTTTTTTACCTCTACATAATGAACACTGCTCTAATATTCCTGTATGGATTACAATTGGACTGCAAATGTTATTTTTTATCATTTGTGTGTCTATAAATTCAGCTTTCTTTCATTTTAAAATGTCAGTGAGAAGTTAAAGATGCTCACCAAACCCTGTTAGATGTGCCGTTTGGTTCTAACGGTCCCAATGAACCCATATGTTACCTCTCATCAGACAACGTAACCAGCAATCTGTGGTAGAGGAAGTGCTCAGATTCTTCACCAGTACAACAATGTTAAAGTACTTCATTACAAGTACGTCTTCATTCCATATCCTACTTACGTAAAAGTGTTGGTTCATAAAATTCTACCTTTCAGTGATGTTGAAAACTAATATTAATGACACCATCTGAGATTGTTTAGAGAGGAAATCTCTAGGTGGAGCTGCTAACAGCTCCACGATCCAAAGCAAACACCCAAATTGGACTCTGCATTTTGTTATTGAGAGATGCCAAACCATAACTTTTGGAAAGCATGGTTTAAATGTTCACCGTTGCATTTTATTTGAACAGCTTTTTTTTTTAATGTGTTTTATATAAAATGTTAGTCTGAAAAGTATCTACAACTGTCAGACAAATCTAGTGGAGTAAAATGTGCGTTTCGCTCTGAAATGTACGTTTCACTCTGAAATGTAGTGAAGTAGAAGTAAAGTAGCCTACCATTAAATGGAAATACTCGAGTAAAGTACAAGTACCTCAAAATTGAACTACAGTACTTCAATGATTCCTTTTCACCACCGAATTTCACACTTGTACCTGGAAAATGTTTGGTATTTGCGTTTGTAAAAACATCTTAATTGTTTATCATTTTCTGTTGATCGATTAAAATTGCCGTTATCGTTTGAGCTGAAGTTTATTTGAGGGACCAACATTTACACTTATTCTCTATGATAAGAATGCTTGACCTTAATAATATAACAGCCCTGCTAATCTTTTAATTGCACATAAATCATTTTACTGGCAGGAGGAAATCAAAAGAAGTGGTTTTGATGTTTGTTTTTTTATTATGAGATATACATATAGTGTTACAAACTTTTTTTTACTGTTACCATCACAATAATATGGAGGGTGATCCATAGGTTTGAACAAAAAAATTAAAAATAATTTTGTATTATTGTGAAAGTGTAAGAGTATTTTTCTTTCCTTAATTAAACAGGCAGAAACAATAAGAGTCGTGAACTCTCCTGTTGCTTCTGTGTGAGAGTAAAAGAGAGAGAGAGAGTTTGTCCCACAGAGCAGACCAACCGGTGGGAGAGGGTGTGTCTGAGCCTCAGCGTGTCCGATATAAATACACTTTGTCCCGCTGCAGCAGAGTGTCTTCGCACAGGCAGCAGCTCCGTCTGGAAAGTCAAGCACATAATGGCAGCGCCGAAGAAGGTCTGTGTGATCGGCTCTGGTAACTGGTGAGTGAAGGGTTTGAAGATGTCTGAATTGTTGAGCGTTTTAAATAGAGCAGCCTGTCAGTTGTGCTCTATTTTAAATTCATACTCATAAAGGTATTTTTCTTCTCTGGATTAGGCTGTGTGTGTGTGTGTGTGTGTGTGTGTGTGTGTGTGTGTGTGTGTGAGTGAGAGAGTGATGTCTTAAAGTTGGCAAACTTTGGAAGAAAATAAAGGCAAAGTTAACCTAATCTGTTAACAGCAGATAAATAATGCATAAAGTTCATAAACTGCAGAGTGGAGGTCTGCTGACACTGACTGTCTCATGACCTTTGACCCTTCAACACCCCCACAATCTTTATTAAAGAAGCAGGTCTTTCAATATTCAGCAGTATTTGTGCTGAATCGGCCTTCGTGCGTTGTTGACATCACTCGGTCTGCATGACATTTAGTCCAGTCTGTGGAGGAGGAAGTATTCAGATGATAAAATACTAAAGATACTTAAAGTAGCAATACCAAAATGTATGTATTATTATCAGCAGCGTGTAACCAAAGTATTACAACTAATAAAATACTAAATATGTGGTGTAGTGGCTCTTTTTAGTATATATATACATTATTATCATCATTGTATTTGATGCATTAATATGTAAGAAGTATTTCAATGCTGTAGCTGGTTGAGAGAGAGAGGTTATATACATTTTGGAAGTTTAATCTACAACAATCCATCATGTGTTATGAAGTTATAAAGTAGCATATAATGGAAATACTCAAGTGAAGTACAAGTACCTTAAAACTGTGAAGTACTTGACTGAGATCAGTTGTGAAAGGTCAATGGTAATAGTGTTGATATGTAATCTTACAAAGGGATTTTCTTCCAGCTCTTAGCCTATGTTATGAAGACATTCAATAGCCTGGTATGTAATGAGACACTCCTCATGCCAAAATAATGGTCCTCTGGTATTCTCTTTTTTTTTTTACCTGTAGTGTTATTCTTGTCTGGAAAAGCAATTCAAGTCATGTGACACTAAATATCTTAATTACAATGGTCCTGTGTCACAAGTCCTTTTGACATCTGCTCACTATTAGGAGATTCACTACTGTATTTATTATTAGTCATGAGACATCTAAAATCAATTTTCATATATGTATTTAAGTTGTGTTTCTTACACACAGTGGTCAGTGTATGACCTCCTTAATACCAGCAATAGTTGAGGCATTTTTTTTTCTATTAATCTACTATCACTGCAGCACCAGGCCAGAGTATGAAATCCATTCAAATCCATGTTTAAATTACATTTCACAGAAAAAAACAGGGGACATTTAACCTTTTTTTGGGTAACAATAAGTTCAACTAGCTGCTGTCTCAGAACCAGTATGGTCATTGTGTGTCTCCATGTCCACAGGGGCTCTGCCATTGCCAAGATTGTGGGCGCCAACGCAGCCAAGTATGACAAGTTCGACACCACAGTGAACATGTGGGTGTTTGAAGAGACGGTGAATGGCCGTAAACTCACAGATATCATCAACACGGACCATGAAAATGTGAAATATCTGCCCGGCCACAAGCTGCCCCCCAATGTGGTGAGCATGAAAACACTCTTTGGTGGCTTCAGTGACTGTCTGGTGTTGTCACATGACTGAACTTCCCTCCTTGTTTCCTCTCTCCTCGTCAGTTGGCCGTTCCAGACTTGGCCGAGTCTGTGAAAGGAGCCGACATCCTGATCTTCGTGGTGCCTCACCAGTTCATTGTGAGATTGTGTGACACCATTAAAGACCACATCAAGAAGGATGCTGTGGGAATGTCTCTCATCAAGGTAACATTTTTCTTATATTCTGAATTTGTACAGTACCATAACGGCACAGGAATTTCACAGTGCACGAAAGAAGTAATGATTCAAGGGGATTTTTTTTGTGTGTGTATTTTGTGGCCTGCTCCAGGGTGTGGATGCGAGTCCAGAGGGCCTGAAGCTGATCTCTGAGGTCATCCGAGGGAAGCTGGGCATCACTATGACCGTCCTCATGGGAGCAAACATCGCCAACGAGGTCGCCGAGGAGAAGTTTTGTGAAACAACAATCGGTACGGACAATAAATAGACATTTGATGCCTCTAACTAAGGGGACATTTGTCTATTAGAAATGACTTGCTATGAAAGTAAAACATAGTACTGGTTTTAATCTGAATGCAATGCGTACAGGATACAAACATAATTTATTCTTACTATACTAGATGTGTACGGCTATTTTGAGTGTGGCTCCAGCTGTAGTTGAGGAGGACATGACTGGATGACTTTTGATATATCAATAACTCACAGTATGATTGATCAAAAGGATGAAAATCTTGTATCATATATTGGTCTTTTCCACTCATTTATTTATCACGTGATCACATGTTTTTTGGACACAGGGTGCAAAGACAAGGCTTTCGGGCCCATGCTGAAGGAGCTGATGCAGACCACCAACTTCCGTGTGACTGTGGTGGAGGAGTCTGACGTGGTGGAGATCTGCGGGGCGCTCAAGGTCGGCTTTTCTCCTCCTTCAAAACTAATTTACTCCTTTTATTTTCAACGCCGTCTGAGCGCCATCAAAACATTCAATGTCATATCTGTGCTTAAGCTCTTCAGAATACATAAAAGATGTAATGGGTGAGAAATACGGCGCGGTCAAAAGAATTCCAGTTGCTACAAAGCTTTTGTGGCTTAATATTTCTCCACATCTACGGATATTTCTCTTCAAATTCACCATTTGCCAAGAGATGTGTAATCATTCGGACATCTTTTATACTGCTGCATTTAAAACCTTTTTAGAGAAAACATTAAAACACCATCTTAAAGAGATACATCTGCTCATCTGGCAGATGCAGTATGTTTGAATTGTACATATTACAAGCCAATCTCTAATACTCCCGTTGTTTTTTTAAGTCGATGGACATAGATATGATATTCAACAGGATGTGTGTTTTGTGGGGCTACTGTGGCTCAGTTGTGAAGCGGCGTCGGCAATCAGAGGATCGGCGGTTCGATCCCCAGCTTCTCTAGTCCATGTCGATGTGTCCTTGACACTTAACCCCACATTTTTCCCGTAGGCTGTGCCTTGCATGGTAGCCCCTGGCTATGATTATGCGTAGTGTTAAAGCTTTGAGTGGTCAGAAGACTAGAAGAGTGCTATACAAGGACAGTCCATTTACCATTTATGCATCAAAAGCAGTAAGGAGACAAATCTAATAGAATTTGCCGTCCATTTATCAAAACATATATGAAAATGATCGATGTGGAGGCACTACTTTCTCATCACAACAGTGGCATTCCTCAAAGCATTAGTACCACCATCCAACAATAACACAATAACAGCAGCGTCTCTTCTCTCTGTGTGCTGCAGAACATTGTAGCAGTGGGAGCAGGTTTCTGTGATGGCCTGGGCTTCGGCGACAACACCAAGGCGGCCGTGATCCGTCTCGGCCTGATGGAGATGATCGCCTTCGCCAGGGTCTTCTGCACAAACTGCCAGGTCTCCTCCGTCACCTTCCTGGAGAGCTGCGGCATCGCTGACCTCATCACGACCTGCTACGGCGGACGCAACCGCAAGATCGGGGAGGCCTTCGCCAAAACAGGCAAAGTACGAAGAAACCGATTTTGTCCCCATCTGTGTCACATCTTATGAAAGCCATGACAATGTAACATCACACACTAAAATGACCCCGAACATCTCTTTGTTGTAGACCATTGAGCAGTTAGAAAACGAGCTGCTCAACGGTCAGAAGCTTCAAGGTCCAGCGACTGCATTCGAGGTCCATCAAATCTTGAAACATAAAAACATGGTGGAAAAGTAAGTGTGTCTTCTATTTCATTAAGAGGATCTTCATTTATTACTGATAATGTGTTGGTTTTTACTGAGTTAATTTCAATTTAGATAGTACAATTTGAATGTCATGGTGTGCAAAAACCCATTAAACATTCAAAGACAGACGTTGGAGAGTGGTGCCAACTTTCTCATCTGACTCTCGGCAACAACGAGCGAATAAGCCCGTTTCACAAAATGTCAAACTATTTCTTTGATGATTTCCATCGTTGTTTCTCGTCTCTAGGTTTCCCCTTTTCACCGCTGTTCACCAGATCTGCTTCGACGGCCACTCAGTCACAGATTTCATCAAGTGTTTGCAGGACCACCCAGAGCACATGTGAAGGATTAGAGACTGAGGAGCGGGTGGAAGTTGGGAAAGGACTCCCTCTAGAACTACTGTGTAACCCAGGTGGTTGTAGGGAGGAAGGTTAGGTGAAGACTGTGCCTAATCCGGACTACTTTCATGTTTGAATCTCAAACAACAAAGACAACAACAACAAAAAACAGAGTTGCCTTCTCTACTCCTACTTTCTTGCCTTTCATTACAACACTGACAGAAGCACTGACTTCTGTTTAGACTTATTAGAAACATACAAATTGTTGCATTAAATTTAGTCTTAAAAGTTTTACGAATTTACACAATGCTCAAACCCCGACCTGAGTGTTGTCTGGTTAAAAGCCTTAACGTGCCTTTTTCACGGACATGTTTGTTTTCCGATGCTTAACAAAGCACTGAACACAGTTCCAACTGCCGCTGTGTTGTTTCTTTTCTTCTGGACTTATGATGATTTATTTTGGAATAAACTATTGAGCTCGTTGACTTTGTGCCTGTGCTCATGCTTAATGTTTTCTGTTTAACTCGCTGGCATCTTCCCGCAGGATGCACTCAAACACCCTCTGCTGCAGCCTCGCTGTAACCTGACCTGAGCTCTGCCAGGCTGCCACTCTAAACTCTTCACCTTTACCATTTTCCAGAGCGTCTATTTCAACCTTTCTTTTTAAGATCACGCCTCATCTGTCCTCATATGTGTTGACTGTGTTGTTCAGAAACATCTCTGAAGATGCAGTCTCTTTCTAAATTCTGTGAAAATGCAAGAAACCAATGTGTGTTCATCAACGGCCCGTTACCATGTGTCAGCGTATCTCATCGATGCTCAGTGCCTGCAGGTCCCTCTGGATAAGAGTTTCAGCTAAAGGCAGCATTAAAGACAGCGGGCAGCGGGTGGTGGTATGCATTCCCTGCTTTGCCAGTATTCTAATTGTTAAAACGCTGGAGCAAAAATTCTTCCCATGTCTGCTCTTTGGTCCCACAAATGTGTTCATTTCTATTATTTATTACCAGCTCTGTTGTTCAGTTATGTTGTTGTAGACCATGAAGTTACCTCATTTGCCACTTGTAAAGAATTGGATTCCCTTGCTGAAACCCCTTGCATAGTTTTTGAGTCAACTGGCCTGTGAGATTTCTAATAATACCGCGCTCTAAAGGGGAAAATGTCCATCTATAATTAGACACGACGGGAAGCACTGCAGCTGCCTCATCGCTGCTTCAACACAGATGGAGGGATGCCACCTTTTTGAAATACTACACCATTGTGGTGCCATCAAAAATCATAATGTGTTGAGCTACTTTTAGCCCCATTTTAAAGTTTTTGTATTTTAAATGAACATAAACATGTTCAACTCTGGGTCGTGACCGAAAGGACAAGGTCGCGGTTACAAGCGGCCGAAATGAGCTTCCTCCGTAGGGTGGCCGGGCTCAGCCTTAGAGATAGGGTAAGGAGCTCGGTCATCAGGAGGGAGCTTGGAGTCGAGCCGCTACTCCTTCGCGTCGAAAGGAGTCAGCTGAGGTGGTTCGGGCATCTAATTAGGATGCCTCCTGGACGCCTCCCACTGGAGGTTTTCCAGGCACGTCCAACTGGGAAGAACACGCTGGAGGGATTACATCTCCCAGCTGGCCTGGGAACGCCTCGGGTTCCCCCAGAACGAGCTGGAACATGTTGCCGGTGAGAGGGAGGTCTGGGTCGGCCTGCTTTGCCTGCTGCCACCGCGACCCGACCCCGGATAAGCGGAGGAAAATGGATGGATGGATGAACATAAACGTCTATAATGTCTTTCAGCGGGGTGCAAATATATGTCGGAGCTCTTACAGAAATAAAACACCTTATACTGGTAATGGTCAAGATGTTGCGTAATGTTCCTGAACAATTTGTAGTTGTAGTGCACCCACGTGCCACTTGGGTGCACCATCATATCAATCTCAAGCCCAGCACTCCCGTTAGTTGTATCTTCCTTTGATTCAGCACCTTTACAGATAAACCGTCAAACGGATTACTGAGCAGGAAGCTGTACAATCTCCTATGGTATAATACGTTTCATAACTTGAATATGAAAGTGTGGCTCTAACAGTGTGGCTCTAACAGGAAATCAGCAGGGATGGGTGCCATTCGTGCATGGCACCCATCCCTTCCAGTGAGGGAGGAGAGACTCGCCTTACTTCCTCAATTCCAGTCCACATCTCAGGGCGGCAGCCAAGGTTTGTCAAACTACCCGGTGACAGCCATAACATACAGGAAGCTGAGCTATATTGCCTTCAAACTTAAAAAGTAAAACGTGTGAGACAATAAGAGGAAAAGCCGGGTTTGGCACAAGCAAGTCCAAAGTTGAGTCTCAAGTCTTTGATACTTGACTTTCATGTCAAAACCATAGGTCCAAACTCGCAGGTCTTTCCGGTCCAAACAGATCAGGCATCAGATATGTATTTCTGTTGAATGGAAACAGTTTCCAGCTGGATGTCAGAGCATGGCATTTTGGCTAACTTATTTATTTATTTTGAATCTAAGGTCAAGTCTTTGAGCATCTTGCCTTCACGTCTCGGCACCTGCACTTGGTGTCACACAATTTAATTCTTCAGTTGTGAGAATAAATCATAAAACAATATTGTAAAACCCCTAATTGAACAAAACAGTGGATATGTGTTGAACCCAATCATAATAGTTGACCGCTGGGAATCTTATTTTGAAAATGTGAAGCGGAAGTCTCTGGTTTTCTTCACGCCGGTGCGGTAAACGTGGAGTGAGGAGAGTGAGAGCAAGTGGCCCAGGAGCAGGAGAGGCTTCCATCAAGTTTCACTCATCCCTTTTCTTCCAGGTATTAAACGAATTTAAGTTACCCGTCCGTGGACCGGGACACCGTGAAACATGGCTGCTTTTTCAGCCTGGTTCTGGAACGAGAGGTTCTGGCTCCCACACAACGTCACCTGGGCGGATCTGGCAGACCCAGCTCCCGGGATGGAGTACCCCAAAGCCGGACACTTGTTTACTGCCTTCCCGCTGGCTTTGGGGATTTTCGCCGTCAGGATACTTTTCGAAAGGTTCGTGCTCGCTGCTTATGTCGGCGTTTTATTTCAAAGTGAGGGAGACATATCCTAAAACTACGTTTAACGGAGGGTTCTTCACAACAACGGAGTGATGGGTTTGCTAGCGTCGGTAAACCCAGCATCTTTAAACGTGTGTTAACACGGGGATTTATTTTGTCAAACTACACCCTTTCCTCATTTCTGTTATAGTTCTGCCCACCACATACTGTTAAAAATATACTAATATTGTTTTCTCAACTACTTTTAAAGACACGTGTGTTAGAAATTCCCTTTAAACGTCGTCTCTCAAGGCTAGCATCACGTGTATGTAACACCGTTACAACTAAACCGGTGTATTCATTGTGCCGGTGTTACGTCCCTACTGGTTTCTGGACCTACTGGTTTCCCTTTTTATACGATTGTATAAGTTAGCACTGCATCACAGCCACGTATGAAGAAATACATAGAAGAAAATACATTTATGCAAAGATCGCAACAACCTGGATTCGAACTCTGGCGAGCAAAACAGTAAAACTCCTCACAGCGGTCGCGCCACGCGGTCCGCCACTTGTGCTTGGTAATGTAACAGACATTCAGTAATTTATTTAGGTTTTGGTTTAGGTTGAACTGAAACAACTGGTTTCCTGGGGACGTATCTTCGAACAAAACCTTATCAATGCTTTTTCGCGAGGCTTTGTCCATACACCACCGACGCATTTTCACAAAAACTAATGTACTTTTGTGACGATTATACAGTGACGATCGTACTTTGAAAATACACTAAATAATTGCGAACTCTTGTTCGGTCGGTCAGGATACGTTTTGGGGCGCCATGCTTAAAAAATATATATATTATGCACAATATCACTACTTCAGCTCTGTTAGTTGTTAGAGGGTAGACTTCTAGCCACTTTGTGAAGTAGTCCACACACATACGTAACCATTGTTGGTGACTAGTCTGAAGAGCTCAGTCCACCTTAGAATGCAAACCAAAGCTTACACCAACAAGACTTCATACAACATGTTAAATTTAATGTTTATTCACCTCTACGGGTTACACTGAATTTTCTCCATCATAGAGGTCCTGTTTTTCTGGCAGGCATCACATTGGGCAATCTGACCAACCGTGGCAAAGAATTTGTCAACAAAGTAAGTTGATTTCGAAGACAAGATTTCGCAATTATTTAGTGTATTTTCAAAGTACGATCGTCACTCTATAATCGTCCAAAAATACATTTGTTTTCATCAAAATGCGTTGGTGGTGTATGGTCGAAGCCTCGCGAAAAAGCATTGATAAATATGTTTGGAAGTGTTCGGAGAGATGCCCAAGGAAACCAGTTGTTTCAGTTCACTCTAAAGAGTAAGTGGCGGACCGCTTAGCGCGACCGTCTTTGGATTTGTTATTATTTTGCTCGCCAGAGTTCGAATCCAGGTTGTTGCGATCTTTGCATAAATGTATTTTCTTCTATGTATTTCTTCATACGTGGCTGTGATGCAGTGCTAACTCATACAATCGTAATCCCTGCAATTGATATGAGATGTGTCTTTTAGATCTCCAGCAATATGTTTGTGAATGTGTGACGAATCAGGCGACAGAGGCAGAAAACCGCTGCAGCTGTTAAGCGAACACAACACACGCACGCTGGTCCAGAAACCAGTAGGGACGTAACACCGGTCCCCTTCTCAGACTCTAGTCTTTGATGTGTAGCTAACACCAGACTAGTTCAACAGTCATTGACCGTTATCCACTCTGTTTATGTCCTTAACTCATGCATGCATGCTTTATATGAAGTGCTGCTGCTTCTATACTTCCACAGCTACTTGTCACATATAATAAGGTCCATGTATCCATCCAGAATGCAGCAGTGTCACAGCTTTTTACACCAATACATACACCATGTGTTGGTACACACTGGATAGGAGAAGCCTGCACGTGTCTTGCTACACAACCGAGCCCTAAGGCTTTATTCTTTTAAACAAAAGCGGTGGATTTATGTCATTAGTTTTGCCCTGTTGCCTGAGCCTCTCTCTCATACACAGATAATATAACCTTTAGCGGTGTCAGTCTGGTGTCACCTCACAATTCCTCCCCCAAAACAGACGTTTTGGTGTCTTGTTTAGACTAGAAAGTCTCTGCTGACAAGTTTCTCATTTGATTTGCAGAAAGTACGACTCCAGTATGAACCTTAATGTGACTAATACAGTTATTCTTATTCTTTCTTGTGTGCTGACTCTGACAGTGGCAAAAGCAAAACCACATCCCCTCATTTGTTGACTGAGACTTTGACTGGATGGCTTGACGCAGTGGTTTTTATTATTTGTTTAGCCACATGCGTTGAGGGAAGTTGTGCCTGTTTTGTGCAGCTTCACGATTAAAGTATTAGAGGAGTGTCGCATTGAATCCAATAAAATTGACATTATGGCAGACTATATACATGGCTCTAAACTTAAATGTCAAAGAGGGCCCTTTAGAATATTGTTTTTGAATATAGACAGATTTTTTACTGGATTTGTGACTTAATGCTTTACATTCTTTCACTGCTTAAGTAAGCAACTGCGATCTTATTTAGTGTTGAAGCCATTCCAAGGTCAGGAAGATGCTCAATACAGAGAAAGTATTTGTTCCATATCCCCCTCCCCTAATGTCACTGTGTCTGTGGTTGGACAAGCTTCAAGTAGAGCTTCTTAGACGGTACACTTCCATTTCCTCTTGGCAAGGTGTAGCCCTGCTTTCACAACTGCTCATTACCAAGATTTCTGTTGTGAGACAACTTCATGGCTATAAAAAGTTATTTGATCTCGGTTCACATAACGATAAAGAGCTCAGGATTCATCATTAGCCAGTTATCATTGTGTAACCTTTTAAATTCCATGGTTGTCTGTCAACAAAGAGAAAAGGACGAGGACTACGCCTCCGCTGTAACACATAATAATATAAAGGAACATAGCCATGTTTACCTGAGTCCTTCTATGTACTCTTCCTGTAAATCTCAATTGGGTTGGTTGCAGGAGATGACTTGTTGTCGCTCAGATATATGTTTTCTAGAGTTGGCCCCCTATAGCTTCAAACACATCGTCCGGCTTTCTCTGTTTAATTTAGACATGGTCAAGTGGCTGTTAATGAGGAGCAGTCAGATGTTGGAGGTGTCTGAGGAGAGTCGCTGAGGTGTTCGGTGAGATGCTCACCTGTCTCAGGTCTCAAAGCTCTGTCTCTCTCTAACACAAGGCCGTCCCCGAGGAGAGGACGAGCCACAGCGATGTTATCAGAGAGCGGTAACTCCCTCTGTCTGACACCAATCCGCTCATTCATTTATTCAGCAGATAAAAACATCACACCGTAGCTTTCTGCACAAGCTAAACACAGGCTTTGTCAGACAGTACACTTGATACAACACACACACACTAACACACCTAGTGTGTGGCAGGCCGTGTATTTTATACCTGGGCCTTCAGTGCCGTCCTACTACAGTTGAACCACCTCCTAATAACCTCATTGTGACGCCAGCATGACGGGATGCTTCGTCATTAACGGACAATGCATATCGTCAAAATCAATGTAATTAACACAATGACAAGAACAAACTCACAAGAACCAGTCACATATATTTATATGACAACAAAGCAGGTAGAATAACATAAAACCCAAATACGATTCAACAGGCCTCTGCACAATCCAGCAAAACTGTGGCGCTAAAACACGCATTCCGCCACAGACTCAAGGACACCATTCAAATATTATTCACATCAGAGGGAACAATATTAACCATACCATAATATACCAGTGAAGACAGTCGAGCCTCCCCAGTTGTACTTCTTGAATACGTTTTAATGCGTTTGAGGGCTGAAAATGTCCGCTCGACAGAGGCAGCAGATATTGGGATTGTCACCGCCCAACATGCCAAAACGCTAAAAATGTAAAAACTTCTTACATATCTTTAAACTTTAACTGTTACCACTACAAAGTTCTGCTAGCTAGTTCCACAACAGATCTGATTGGATAAAAGCTCTACTTAAAACAAGCTGTACTGGAAGCAGCGCAACTAAGGAAGACAGTAGCTATGCAATGAGATAAATGGCTAATGGGAAAAATATTTAGAATACATGTGTATTTATGAAAAATAATAAAATAATAAAATAGCTATAACTTTGGGATTCTGTCAGTGTCTAGGCCAGCAGAGAAGGCCTTGCTGGCCCTGACGGCCCACCACTGGTGTATACACACTTCAATATTTACTATGTCAGCCCTTGAGACAAACTGAATGCTTCATATGCTTCAGTTCTGATAGAGAACATATGATTTTCCACAGTTTGCTGGCTGGATCACAATGGGATGATGTGAACGAGTGTAACAGTTAAACACTGTTTAATAGATTGATACTTGAATCAAGTCATGTGATGGGTTTTCCACCGGACAGCATGTGTCATTGAAAATACAATTATTAAATAACAGTGTATTTATAAGCAACTTTTATTGTTTAAAATGATGTCAGCAGGGACTGTTGGTCCTTTGGCATTTTTTACATTGTCAAATCTGGCCCTCTTTGAAAAAAGTTTGGACACCCCCGGTTTAAAGTGTTTGTGCTAACGTTAGATTTATTTGCATGTTGGTAATGCCAGTGTTAACCTACATTCCTAACTTACACCAGATTGGTTGGAGAAGAGTCGGTAGCAGCTTAAGTAACATAATTAATTACTAAAATGTCTCAATGTCACTTCAGTTTGATATTTAATGTTAAATATTGGTTTGAATGTAAAATGTCCACTGAGGGCAACATGCTCAAAAAAGGGATATCATGTGTATTGTTTAATTTCATATTGAATATGATGGTTTGGAATTTCAATTGATCCTCAATGCAACACCCCACCTTTAGCTATTAGAGACAGGTGATGTAGGTTTCAGTGAATGTTGATAAAAATCCAAATCCATTGATAAGATGCATTCATTTATAAATGTTTTAACTGCTGTTAAAATGAGAAGAGTATTTCACAGACGTGTTTATTCAGTGAAATAGTGTTTAAACATTCAATCAGGGATTCAAAGTTAACATTGATTAAAACAGGTTATCTTAACTCAAGAATTCAGTCAAATATACAGATAATAGGAAATTATTGTTTTTTTATTTTTGTTCAATCTGTACACGTACAACATCTTCTGTCCCGGAACCCTCACATCAGAACACGAAAACCCCCCAAAAACCCCTTTAACAGGGAGAAAAGAGGGAGAGACCTTAGGGAGAGCAACAGAGGAGGGATCCCTCTCCCAGGATGGACAGAAGTGCAATGATGTCATGTGTACAGAATGAAGTGGGGATAGGGTAGAAGTGGGGCAAGGCAAGGCAAAAAAAAAAGGTTTATTTGTATAGCACATTTCAACAACAAGGTAATTCAAAGTGCTTCACATAAAACCATTAAAAGCATCAAAACATAAGGCAAAAGAAAAGGACATTTAAAAACAATTAAGAACATACATTGAAACAATAAAAACGGTCATTAAAACATAAAAAAATAGGATGGACGATAGGGTGGAAGCGAGGGTAGAAGTGGGGATAGGATGGATGTGGGGTTAGAAGTGGGGATAGGGTGGATTCTAGTTATGCTCTCCTTTTTTCTTCAAATGCTTTAATTTCTTACAAGTCAAATTTGATTTCAACTATATACATTTCAGCATCTTCAAACTGACTTTTGCCCCTGTCAATGCTTGTACTTTGACACTTTCAACTGCAATGATTGCTCAATCTACAGGAAACTAACCGGCAACTATTTTGACAATCGATTAATCGTTTTAGTTATTTTCTACGACTTCCCTGGTTCCAGCTTCTCCAGTGTGATAATGTGATGCTTTTTGACATATAGGAAACCAAATATCTTTTTGGTCAAATTAAACAAGCTTGCCTTGGAGCCTCAGGAGGTGAGAAATTAAAACACACACATTTCACTATTTTCTTGAACAAACGATTAATTTATTAATCGATGATGAAAATGTAGTCGCCTTACTTCCAACCCTATCAGGTCTCTGGTCTTTGAACAACAACCCCCCTTTAAAAAACCTTCTCGAACATCTTCCACTGTTCATACACCTTGTACCACCGCTGCTTTCAGTGCTTACGCTTGAAATACAACAAACATTAAAGTGAAACCTAAACTCCTTTCAGCACTTGCATTTAAACTGCTTTTCTAGTTGTAGTCATGCTGTCTCGGTAGCCACAGAACCTGCTTATATATCTAACTTAATCTTTGTCTTACAGCGTTATCTTTGACAACTACAGTCTGTCATGATGCCCTAAAGATGACATCTTTCTTTTCTCTCAGTCAGGAAGAATAGTTACACCTCCGGTGGAGAACCTGAGAGTATCAGATATCTTCTCCCTAAATGTTGCTAAATCAAAGTCTTACATTTCTCCAGCCTCTGTCTTCAGACATATTTGTTTTTGTTCTTGAAAGGCTGCATTCTCGCACATAGTTATCAACTGCAGGATTCTTCTTCTACCTGATTAATGCAACGGCTGTCCTCAACAGCCCGAGCAGGCTCCTCCTCTTCTAGACCAGTTTGTTCTTGTTTGATTACAATCATCTCTTTGCTCTTGGCAGTGACTTTGTAGATGGAGGCAGTCAGGCTGTTTTTGTTCTTCTAAGCCGTGTCATGAGTTGAACGGTGTTAAGACTACAAATTGGGACGTGCATGAGATTATGAGTGGCTTGCCATGTAATCTGTTGTGGCCCGTTTTTGACTGTTTCCCCATGAAGTAAGAGCCAAGTATTCCCTCTGTCAAAAGGAAGTGAGGGTAGACACTAAGCAAAACAATGTTGATGTGATGCATCAAACATCCTCCTTGTCTGTTTATTTCCCACATAACATCGCATTGTCTTTCCCCAAAGTCATGTCTCTTCCACGTTATCCTCAATCCTGTTTTCACGACTTCACCGGTCAAATGAAGGCCTCGGTTACATCCAGTGCTGTGCCGGGAATAGAACCGGGCCTGGCCCCCGGCTCAGGGGAAGTTTCCCCACTGGCAAGGTTCCATGTAGCTTTTTGCTCGTCCCTTTCACAGCCGCCCGTCTACCTGCGTCCACGTTACACAAACCACACTGAGCCGCTTGGTGGCATGCCGTGTGTGTGTCGGAGTGGTCGGGATCTGAGGAGCGGGGATGTTTTCGATGTTGGACATGAATAGATTAGCTTGCATCTCTCGCCCCTTTCGGTGGGCAGCAGCAACAGCGATTAGCACTGAAGGATCAGGCTGGCAGGGGGTTGTATCTGTCGATTGTGAAAGAATTGAATGGCCTGTGCTTACAAGAGAACCTAGACTGTTGCCACATCAGCTGATGGCTTACCTTACAGTTTCTGAGAGAGATTGTTCGGCAGCTAATGCAGCTACTTGAAGCCCAACCACTGAGTGAACTCAGGGTGAACCAGACCTAGAAGCTGCATCACATTCAGAGCTGTGCCGCCCTTGAGCTCCTGCGTGTCATTAAGTGTTTTATGCTCAAGGCAATTAAACAGGGAAATGTAGATTGCCCGGTGTAATTTTTAACAACAATATGCCCCATGAAACCAACTTATCCAGTTTAACTTCTGTGCAGAAGTTAGTGCCACAGAGTGCACTGCGGTTTGGGCCAGTTTACTTTTAATGTCGTGGAAATCACTCAGTATGTGAAGTCAAACTGCTCTTTAGCACCACGTCAAATAAAACTTTGCTGAAAGACACATGTAGGTTAAAAAGGTTTTGTATTCTTTAAACTTTTAGGACACTTGCTGGTTTGGATGGTATGAAAATGATTGAATCTGGAAACATGTCGTTGCTCTAAAGGGTTAGGAGAAAGGGCTCGCAGGTGAAGCTGCTTATTGCAGGGAGACGATAATAAAACTGGGAGGGCAAGAAGTGTGAACGGCTTAATGTCAGACTCAACGCATTGTTTTTCTTTTTCCTTGCCATAATCAGATTCCTCACCAGCAACCATCTCCTGAAACAGCACTTAGACAAAGGAGGCTTCATCATTTCAAGGATTCCTCTACGGTTCAACACTGGCTCAGTATTTTTTCAAGAAATACTTCTCACGGAACTGATTACATCTTGCTGACGTGATGATCGACTGATGAAAATGTAGATAACACTTACAAGAAGAGGCTCAAGACTGTCAAAAATCAAAGTAACCTTAAAATATTTTTATAAAACAGGGTACAAAAGAATATGACACTGCAAACATGGGTGCACATTATTTCTGGGTCTTGGAGTTGGCATTTGTCATGTTTCCCCATTGCTGCTATTTGGAGCCTCCAGCCAGTCTCATCATTGTTTCACAATGCTGTTTTGTTAATGGGAAGTTCACTAAAAGTCAATACTGTAAAATGATGGTCATATCTCTTTCTGCATTCTTCTGCAGAGTGACCGCAGACACAATTTGGCAAATTTTTCATTTAAATAATTATTTTATGAATCCTTGTAACTATGTGACTTCCTGTGACCGTGTGACTACGACGTGACTACGACGTGACTAAGAATTTCGTAAGTGAAGGAAAACCCATTGAGGAAACCGTTGTGGAAAACCAAGAAGACATGCAGAGCTTTAGAGCATGTCGGTAGACACTGCTGCGTCATGTTTAGTCATCCCCATTTGTTGATGTAAATCAACATAAAATAAGCCCGAGTACACATGTACAAATTTAAGATTGACCTTGTAGACACTGAGCTACTTTTGTCCAAAATAGCTTTATTTTTTTGTAGAACCAGATGAAGCTGTTGTGCTTTATGACTTAGTACCGTTGTATGTGTGCGGTGAAGTCTGTATCAGTGGAGCAAAAGACTCTTTTCTTCATGTTAGAGAGACATGTTCATGTTCACAGGAACGTTTCCTTTAAGAGTCTCTGTGTACATCTTTGCAGCACCCACAATGATAAACGTGTAAATGATTGATTGAGCCTCTTTTGATTCTCCTTGATCATAGAACTTTATTTCAGTGTTTTAAGTAGTAATATTAATTCATACTTATATGGCTATGCTGGTCGTTGTGATAAAACAGAATCATCTCAACACCACAGCATTCTTAAACTACCCACTATAAAACAGCAGCAGCTACTTAAATCTCCCGTTCTGCCTCCTGATAACTCAAAGCTATGTTTACCGAGGTCATTGTTTTACTAAGCACAGAGACCCGTTGTTGCCGCCGAGCGAGCTGCTCATGTATCACTCGGAGACCAAAATCCAGCCCATAATACTGAACCCGACTCACAGGAAGCTGTTTCATTTGAACCTGTATTCTGTGTGTGCAATATATGAGCTCAAAATGAAGGATCTATGGCCTCTATGGACATGAAAGAAGGCCTGCTCACAAATGTGGTATAAATGCCTGTAATAGCTAATTCAGTCATAATGCAGAACAGAACTACGAGCAGGGGTCTTTCACCGTCATAATGTTCTCATCATGAAGGAGGCATCCGCCTGGGGATTTTAAGAAGCTCCCACTCAGCAACTTTATGCTTTTATTACTATCCTTTTATTAGATGTCAGCCCACCAGGCTTATGCAACACATTACCTACGACCATTCATCACTCCCATTTTCACCTCTGCCACAGGTTTGTTGCCAGTCCCTGTGCCCGGAGTCTCCACATCCAGCCAGGTGTTGGACGGAGAGCTCAGCCCAATGCTCTGCTGGAGAAGGTGTTTACGTCCATCACCAAGGTTTGCCTTCTTCCTCCCTTTAAGGAAGCTAAATGACTGTAATGTAATGTTTAGGCTGATGTGAGGCATGACGTTTTGCTTGGTTTTAGGCTCCTCTGCATTATTTGAACATGGTCTTGACAACAAAACTCTTAACTAGCGAAAACAAAGCGTGATTCAGTTTTGACTGCGTTCCACTGAAGGAACTAAACTTGAGTACAGACACGTATGAGGAAACTATTGTGCAAGGGCAAAAGAAACGCTTCTATTGTTTCACTTTTCACTGAAACCTTTTCGGCACAGATTCCTGATGATTCTTGTGTTTGCTGACGTCACGTGCTCCCACTGAGAGTGTGACCCTGAGAGTCTCACAGATTACAGTACAGAATCAAGGCTGAGTGTCTTGCTCTTTTCTTATTCTCTGCACAGAATCCAGACTCTCGCCATCTGGATGGCCTCTCCAAGCAGCTGGACTGGGAGGCGCGAAAGGTCCAGCGTTGGTTCCGACAGCGCAGGAACCAAGATAAACCCAGCACGCACACCAAGTTCTGCGAGAGCATGTAGGTTAATCCCTATTGTGTTCACCTTTGACCTCTCCGCAGGCTTGAGCACACAGCGGCTGTGTTGTGTGTGCAGGCGTGGTGTGATGTTGTCGGTGGATGTCTGCATGTATGTTTCTGTATTTCTATTGAAGTCAGAATGCGCACATTTAGTTCTTTATTCTTCAAAAGTTTATTGTTAGGACTGGATTTCAAATAAGATTCAAGAATCCGGTTATGTTAGAATCAGGATTGTGGCCGGTAGGGGCAAGTAGATGCATACCGTATATTTTATATTAAATGTGCTGACTCTCTCTTAAACCAGCCCTATTTTCTGGACCATAATTCCTTCTTGTTTACTTGTAGGTGGAGGTTTACATTTTATTTGTGCATATTTACCTTTGGGTTCCGGTTTCTGTGGCAGGTGAGCACACAATCAGATCAAGCTTGGATTGGAAGCATAAACAAGGGGGGGGGGGGGGGGGGGGGTTGGCTTCTCTTTCATTGATAATATTTTTTGACTGGCTGGGTATATTTCCAAACTTAAAAGCCTCACGGCTTGTTTGCTGAACTAATCTGTTTTCTTTGTAGTGTCCTTGGATGTGGGATACAAAGCTCTGCTGGTATGGATATCCTTATCAGGTACGAGACAGTTCTAATCGTCGTCTATATGATCTATAATGCAAACACAGCGACTACAGACTCAGAAAATCCCTCTAAATACAACCAACTAAGTCAAGAAATGACTTTGCAGGGCCATTGTATGGGACTGCATGACTTTGTGCCTAATAAACTGGTGCACAGTTATCCATGGAAAGCCGTGCTGTGTCACTTTACGACAGAAGAACCATTGTCATATTCTCTTCGCTGCCTTCTTCCTGTTACTTGGATAAATGACGTCATAAAAAGCCGTCTGACTAGTTTAATCAAACTCAGATTAAAACACAGAGAGGTAGATGTTACTCCACTATATCTTCACATCGCAAATATGTATTTGCTGCTTCATAAATGCTTTGAATTTCAAATTTAGCACCTTTTTAAAATGAATAAAAATTCTTATTTCTACTGACTCACTGAATTTGTCTCCCCCGTCTTGTCTCTTCAGGTCATGACTCCGGGTCTTTACCGCTACTATGTGATAGAGCTGGCCTTCTACTGGTCACTCATGTTCTCCCAATTCACCGACATAAAGAGGAAGGTGAGTCTCTGTTCGATTAGGCCACGGTGGATACGCCACGGTGAAACACTCGTCAATACGTCTATTGTATGTGTGACGCAAAGTTTGTCAAATGTCTGCATCAAGATCTAGTTATGGAAGGTCACATGTTTTTTGGGAGGGGGGGGGCTCAGCTGGCGCTGCTCCTTCTGTGAATGCTTTTGTATTTTCAGCACGAGGGCACCCACCATCTTGTGACTGCAGGGCGGAGCCGGCCTAACTCTATTAGAAGAACAGACATTCCTCTCAATGCCAGCCTGTTAGTGACACTTTCATGTTTTAGATGTCACATTCTGTGTAATATACAGTATAGAATCGACATGATGGGATGTCCAGAGGAGGCAAATGGAGTTCCCGCTCAGCAGATTGTTTCACTAGATTTGTGTATGTCAAGCTAACAGAAATTCCTTAAAGTCTTTCTTACCTTTTACTCAGCTCAGTTTCATTGTGATGACTTTACAGTTGGCTCCAAACCACAAAGGTAGTGAGTTAAAAGGTAGCGCTAGACAAGCAAAAGAGCCGGTATTCATGCAAACAATGGTGACTTGTATGAATTTGAAGTGGTCAACAGAAGATTGTCACGTTTTAAGACCTTTTCCAGAGATTCTATGAACATGGACGTTGCGCTTCACTGGATTTACAAACTCTCAGTCTTTCTAGTTGGAACGTGAGCGTTTATCTAACAGCCCACTGTCGAGAGAAGTCAGCCTGAACCGTGGCAAAAATGTTAAAACGCCTTGTGCAAAAATGTACACATAATGTTTATGGCGTTTTAGACAATGCACTTCAGTGTCTGTGCTGTTGTAGAGACCGGCAGGCCAATACAACGGCTGCATGTATGTTAAATTAAGAGATAAGATAGATACATAATAATATATATAATAATAATAAATAATAAGATAGATACACTGTTGTTGATCCCCAGAGGGTCAATCCAGTTGTTGGAGCAACACAAGGACGGAGATGAGATCAGATAGAGAATGTAAAGAGTAAATAATAAGAGGAGTATGAAACTAAAGTAACAATAGAAGTAAAAACCACCTCAGGTGGTTAAGAGTGATTGTGTGTCTGTTGTGATGGCTCCCACAACACAGAGAAAGCCCCTCGCTTCCTGTGACTTCTTTTGCATTTCCACTTAAACATTTTTTTTCATACATTTGCATCACCAACCAAGCTGCTGCCTTCGATCTCTATCTATCTGCATTGTCTGTCTTCCTTATCGTCGTAGCTACAGCCATTCATTGTGTGTAGCTGATGACTATCAACTCGATGGTTACCGTGATTATTGTTGTATTGAGCAGCGCTAAATGTTTTGTGTCAATGTTATAGAAGATTTTCTTTTCTTCTTTTTTTTGGCATTTTGCCTTCGTTGATAGTGACAGTGCAGAGGGAGACATGGGGCAGAGACACACAACAAGAGTCTTCAGCTGGAATCACACTGAGGCTCCATGTGTGTGTCCTCACTGCTAGTTCACCAGTATGCAGACCCCCCCCCCCCCCCCCCCCCACTACTAGTCCACCTTCTCAGCAGCATTTATTTTGTAACACAACAGTCAATGCCATCAACGGCAAAACAGAGAAGTGTGATTTGTGTTAAAATACACTCCACAACACAAGTTTACAAGTAACCAATCAGTGTACATGTATGCTAACTCTCTCTCTCTCTCTCTCTCTTTCTCTCTCTCTCTCCTCTCTGTCTCTCTCTCTCTCTCTCTCTCTCTCTCTCCTCCCTCTCTCCTCTCTCTCTCCTCTCTGTCTCTCTCTCTCTCTCATTTCAGGACTTCCTGATAATGTTCATCCATCACCTGGCGACAGTTAGCCTGATCAGCTTTTCTTACATCAACAACATGACGCGAGTAGGGAGCCTCGTGATGTGTGTCCACGATGCCTCAGACTTCCTGCTGGAGGTCAGTCAGACACAGTGATGAGAAGTCCGTACAATGTTTAAAGCAACTGACTACAAACCAACTATACTGTACTTTACTTTACTTCTGGACGTTTTGTGGTTACAGACTGATGCTTTCCAGCTGGTCCTCATACTTATTACTTTATTCACATTTATTCTCTCAGAGTAGAAAGGGAAGGGTTATCTAATAAACTATCTACTTAGTGTACAACCTGATCTCAGATCAGAACAGGGTTTTGCCGTTTTTACAGCACATTATTGGACAGAAGTTATTGCTGATACATTAATACAAGGAAGATATAGGAACATGTGACTGCTGTTGACACAGTTATGATGGAGCCTCAGCTTTTACAGTTACAACAGTAGTTTCCTCTTTGGAGATTGTCCAATTGTGATTGCTGTCTAGTGTTTCCAGTCACTTCCTCTTGGCTGAGATCCAAATAGACTGTTGGTATCAGTCCAGGAATTAAAATAGGGTTGATGGGTGGTGGGGGAAAAAAAGATGCCCTACATTCAACTTATAATGAACTGTTATTTTGTTTTCCAACAGGCAGGTAAGCTGGCCAACTATGCCAAGTTCCAGCGCTTGTGTGACTTCCTCTTCATTGTGTTTGGTGTGGCGTTCTTCATCACACGGCTAGTTATATATCCTGTATGGTGAGTTCTCAGTTACTCTCAACTCCAGCGTGAATATTATAACTACTCTGCCATAACATTTGTGAATGTATTAATGCACAAGAGCTGATGTTTTTTGAAAGAAATCATCTAGCTTTAGCTCTGAAGGGGCTGAGCTCAGGTTGTGCTAATGTGTGCATAACACTGTCGCACAGACAACCATGTAATCCTACATCATCTGTTTGAGACGTGCGGACAGAGATTGCTGAACTCCATCAAGGCTGCTGGGTGTTATTAATATAATAGTCCACATTTCAAGTCTTTCATGAACATATTGTATTTAATTAAGGATTCTTCAATCCATACATTATTAATTGACTGAATGTAGGCCAAAGTTTACAGTTTATTTTCATCTGCTGCGTTCAAACTAGCGCATGCGTACGTGAGAGAACTGCAGGTCTGCAGGGTGATGGATTTCGGTACATATCCTGTAGCTGTAATTAGTAACATCGGTCAGCCTGTACTTTGCAAACATGGAGAAAACCACCAAGCGCTGCTGTTTGGAAATATCATTAAATAAAGTGATGCAACTTTCAGCAGTTGGTTGATCGGATGAGGATATCCAGGACACCTAACCGCTTCATCATCATGTTAACCAGAGCATGCAGAGGTGTGTGTGCTAAGTGGGTCTGGATAGCAACTGTTCCTCGACAGAGACCTGTATGTCCAAGCGAGCCCAGCCTCCAGAGGGACGAACAATAGGGGACCAATCATTGACGACAGTAACCCGAGCCGCTATATTCAGTGTGGATGAGTGATAACGCTGGTGTTGCCGCTGCAGCTACCTGGACTGAAATCCATCGCTCTGCTGGGGGAGGTGGGCCTGTTGATGACCTTCTGTCACTCTCCTGGATTTAGAGGAAGACGTGACCTCACCAACCACTCACCTTACCCTGTGTACCTTCATAATGGGCCTCTTTTAGAAGAGTGCTGGTTAATACTGTGTTTAAAGTACAGCTCGACTACCTCCACATCTACTGCTCTCGTGGTTTTCCAGGGTCCTGAACTCCACTATGTTTGAGAGCTGGGCCATAGTCGGGCCGTACCCGTCCTGGTGGCTCTTCAACTTCTTGCTGCTGGTCCTCCAAGTGCTGCACATCATCTGGTTCTACCTCATAGCCCGTATAGCTGTGAAAGCTATGCTGCGGGGCAAGGTGGGTCACAGCACAGACACATTACGGAGAAGTACTGTAATGTAGAGACGAGTTAACGATTAGTAGATCGACAGATTCATCCTATCCTCTCCTTACTGTTTTGACAGTCGTTCCAGCCACTTAAATGTGAAGATGTGCTCTTTTTTGTTGTCTAAAACAAATAAAAAACATTAGATATCCTTGGATTTTAGGCTTCTGGTCACACATAACACGACATCTAAAGATCCCTAGGTCTCTCAAAAACTGTAGTGGGTTCAATATTTAGTTGAGCACATGATTATTACCTTTAGCGGCAGATCAGTTAATAATGAGAATCCTCATTAGATGCAGCCTTACTGTGATGACCTGCTGACGGATTTGACATCCTACACACGCAAACTATGTTTGTTTTTCAGCTACTAGAACCTGCAAATACTCACATGTTTTCTGGTGAGAACACGTGTTCATTTCTCTTCAGTGTGGTGTCATTTCATGAAGTATAATGCAGCTCAAACTCTATCCAAAGTAGCCTAGATTAAAAAAACATTTCACGTGATTCAGAACTCTTCTTCAATGTTTCTGTGTCGGCAAAGATAAACAGAAAATTCCAACAACATTGACTTGGACGGGCTATAAAGAACACCACATACATATATTTGCCTATGACCAGAATGTTTGCTGAAATGTAAACAAAACAAACTATTTGTGGTGATGAATTTCCTACATTATTCGCCCAGCTGTCCCTGACTCCGTCTCGTTCTCTCTGCAGACGCTGTTTGTTCCGTCTCCCTCTGGAAAGGGGGAGGGGGAGACGCCGTCTTTCTGTCTGTCTCCGCTACTCTCTCGCTTCTTCTCTGTTTGCTTTGTCCACTTGAGACCTTTACCTTCTCTGTTTGTGGCTGTAAGTTTCTGTCGACTCCCTCCGCTGTGATTCCTTTCACACGTCTTCATTTCATCCGTCCTGTCCACTTCTGTAGGGATTCGGTTTAGCTGTTTGTGGGTTTAAATTAAACAGCTGTTACAGTTGTTGACCAACACTTCGATTTCACCGCACTCACAAAGGCAAAAAGTAATGTGGTGATAATGTCAGGTATGTCAGGTATGTCCAACTGTTCCTCATTAGGCAGGAGTGATGCAATTGTCTGGCACCACCACCATGTGGTTATGATGAACACCAATGATTTGCATGAATATGAAGTTTGTGGGGCTTGAAGCTGAAGATGAAATACATCTCTCATAAGACTAAACCACTGGTTCCCAAACACACCTTTCTGAGTTACTTATTGCTTTCATTTTATGCTGCTTTATACTTCACCACATGTCAGAGGCAAATATTGTACTTTTTAATTCTACTACATTGTTATGTAACTGTAGTTACTTTGCATATGAAGATTTTAAAAGCCTGCAATAAGCATATATAATATAATTCATTGTTATACAGTAAATGAAACCACTGCCACAATATCATAAAATAGTCAAATTAGCTCTACAGCATCCAGCTCCAATATCAAAATGCATCTGTTACTGTATTAATACTAATAATTATATTATGTAATTTTGGCATCAGTGAGTTTTTCTTGATAATACTTTTCCTTCAGTAAGATTTTGAATGTTTTGAGTGTTACTTCTTTTTTTAGTTTGTGGTATTTCTACATTTACTCTAGTAAAAGATCTTAATATTTTAATTTTTCTTATCTAAAGATGTATTTTTTTGTTTTTGTTTGTCTCATGGTGTATCTGTAAAAACAATAGTCGCAACACGTCATATGACGAAAAGATGAGCTTCACAAATTGCACTCAACAGGACGACCATTGCTCATTTACAGCAGTGTTTGAATGAAAAGTAACTTAATCATCATTACAGTGTGTGCATTATTTAGTCAAACATCTGTCGTGCGTACTTCTGTTAAAACAATAATATCCCGTTTCCTCTTCCATCTGCCTTCAAGGTGTGCAAAGACGTACGCAGTGACATTGAGAGCAGCTCAGAGGAAGAGCCCGACACGCCCACAGAAGGCCCGAGGGCCTTCTCTCATCTGCCCAAAGCAGAAAACGGCACTAGGGGCCACTGTGTCGCTGCCAAAGACGGAGTGCAGAACCACAACAGCTGGTGACAGGAGGCTGGGAGCCCCCTGCAGTTGGTCCCTCACAACATCTAGGTCCTCTGACATTCCCTTGACGTCTAAGGCACACACACACACACACTACACTGACAGTGAGTGCACAGACTCACAAACTGACGATTGACACTGACATCTGCTTTGAAGAGCTCTGTACTGACTCGTAGGACACACGTGATTTGCGTAATCTTATTTCTTAAATGATGGGATTTATTTTCTGCTGAGCTTGGTGGCAGTTGTTGATTGGTTTCAATGTTCTCTCCCAGTTTTATTGGTCAGATGAACTTGGATTATTTTTGTGTTACTTCACACTGGATCACAAAGGGCAGAAAACACTACTCTATGGAAGCTTGTTGCATTTCCAATCCGTGATGATACAGCAGGTATTATACATATAAATAATGTTTAAATAACTTATAGCTGTGGTTTTATCAGCTCTTAAAGGCATCTGCTGTGTGTGTATGTGACCACAAGTACACACTTCAAATTTGAGCAGCAGTTTCTGCCTTCTGCAATTTATTGTGGATTTTTCCTTTTAATAACGTTGTTTGGCAACTTTAACGTTTATTCTTTTACTACTTTCTACTACCAAATGCTTATGAAATTGTTCATCACTGCCTACAGAGGAATCCAGGTATGAGGACTGTACTAAATGTCTGGTATCACGTTCTCACTTGAGTGCCTTGTAAAAATATATTTCCAAATATATTCTGTTGATGAAAGAGGCCGTTTTTTGTTGCAGTCCTGTTTATAAACGATACATTGCTTTGTGTGGTTAAAGGCATTTAATATAATACAAACAATTACAGCCATCTTCTCTCCTGAGACTCTCACAACATGGATTTTACACAGGCCACTGACACAAACAATGTGTTATTTGTTCATGTGCCTGGTGGAGTTTTCCTTGTGTGGGCTGTGGGCACACCCTCACAATGAATTCACTTAAATGTCCTGAGAAGAATTAACATCTTCACTGTTTAGCGACGGACAAAAAAACAATGGAGGAATGGGAAATGTCCACATCTGTGGAAAAACTCTAATAGTCCTCCCTCCCCGTCAGTCTTTCATGACTTCAGGGTCCTGGTTTTCTGCTGCCAGCTTCATCTGCTTCTGCTTCTGCACGAAGCGGTAGCCTCGCATCGCACACAGGTAGCCTCCGTAGGCCGTCAGCAGCATCATCGAGGCGGAAAACGTCCGATAGCCGATGTCAGCCAGGCGCTTTCCGGACACCATGGTGAGGATCCTACAGGGACCAGGGACAGGAAGTCTGAGCAGGTTCAGCAGCAAAAACACAGCACAATTTGGGATTTTGTCACACTGGTGTGCTGCAGATCACTGTGCAAGGTGGTTTTATAGCTACATTTGATTTTACACGAGTGTTGCATCAATGAGATGAGTGCTTTGATTCACAAGCTCTTTAATTGTCGTTCATTTCTAGGATTAGCACCAAAAAGTTGAATCAGTTTTAACATTCAACGTTTTATGTAACTGTCGTTAGTAAGTCTGATGTTATTCACAGTCGCAGATCGTTCACTGCTCGTTAACACACTGTCTCTCACAGTCTCTATTCAACAGTCCGTGTGGTTCATCTGACTTAACGTTGATGTCCGTACAAAGTTACGTACTCTGTCTTTATCACTACCAGCGAGCTAGCAGTCGGTCAGCTGCACACAGGTTAGCGCACTATTGTATCCACTCACGTCTCCTCTTGGAGCAAATATCTGGTCTTACCTTTTATTTTAGGAAGCGATAACAAGTACAGGTTGTTGTAGCTGTCCTCAATGTCAGCACGCCGACTCATGAAGTTAAAACGTAAGCTAGCTAACCTTTCGTAAGGTACGGAAACCCAGAGGGGACTTTTCTCTTCTGACAAAATTGCGAGCAAAGTTGCAGAGCGACACCTACTGACCGGGAGTACTTCAGTATAGCTCTCTTTTATTTTAAGGCTTTTCTAACCCGGTGGTATTTCTTGTAATTATTTCAATGAATTAATCTTATTCATATCTCATGTTTTTGATTGTATCTGTGTATTATTTGTTTTACTGCGATTACAGTTTTTTTATGACTAACTACACTATTTATGAAATGTTATATGAAGTATTTTTCTACATACTATACTGTGACTTTCTATGACATACCATACTATGACTTCTTTATATTTTTATGAAATAATTTATTAAATCTTTTTTAATGACCTACTATACTATGTCATATTTTACTACATTTCTATAGTATACTCTTAAGACTTTTAATGACATACTATACTTTCACTTATCTATGACTATAAAAATGTCATATGTAGTATGTCAGGAAAATGTAATAAAAATGCCAAAGAATAGTATGTCATAGAATTGTCTTAAAATGTCATAGTATAGTATGTCATACAAATAAAAGTAATAGTAGTAATGTTAGTGTCATACATTTTTTAATAAAGATGTCATAGTATAGTTTGTCATATAAAACATAGTATAGTGTGTCTTAAATGTTTTATAAAAATGTCATTGTAAAGTATGTCATAAAATTGTCTTAAAATGTCACGGAATAGTATGTCGTCAAAATAGAAAGTCATAGTATATTGTCATAAAAATGCCATAAGAATGTCATAGTATCGTATGTAATAAAAAGTCATAGTATAGTGCCTTACATTTTTCATAAAAAGGTCATACTATAGTATGTCATTAAATGTCATAGTATGTCACGAACAGTTATGGTATAGTATGTCATACAAATTTCATGAAAATGTCAGTATAGTATGTCATACAAATACAAATGTCATAGTATATAGTATGTCAGAAAACATCATAAATCATAAAAAAGTCAGAATATTGTTTCATAACATTTTTGTATCAATAATAATCTACAATTGTTTACACTTACATCACAGTTAATTTGACATTGACAATGTGTCTGGCTCAAGTACGTTTCTGAAACAAATCTAAATAAGTCTTATACAATATGTGAAAAATATGAACTGTCTCTGGAAAAACTAACCGCTAAACTTCTAACTAACCGTTGAACTTTAGCAACATTATGTGGCGGTTATTTCGCGATTACTACAGTACAAACACAAATCGGTTAACGGATTTCGTCGTCGGCCACAAATGAATGGAGGTATTCAAACATCTACTGAAGCGCTCTCTTTTTATTCAAATGTAGCCACACAGAGAGGCTGGTGTGATCGCCACAAACTAACCAGGAACACAGTCGTCCCTCTTAGACTGCAGCCCGTGTTTCCCACCCGGATGTATTTTGGTGGCGCACACGTTACTTACAATGGCAACATGTTCGATAAGTAGCGTAGCCGACGATGAACTAAACGACCCAGGAGCCGCTCCTTATGGCAACTTTATAAACTATTACACCTTCAACCCTCCGGAAAACCGTCTGAGCCTCATTCCCGCCACATTACTCCAGGATTTAGGTTACAGCGACGGCCATCACGCCACCCTGATCCTGGACGTTGGGTGTAATTCAGGGGTGAGTGACTCTGGGACGTTCAACAACTAAATACTGCTTAAGATGCATTATCTTTAACTGTTTGGTCTGGAGTAGCCTCGATATAAATTACTCACGTTTGGACAATATTACATACAGTGATAACTCATTGCATACACATTCAGCGGTTAAATAACTAGCCATTAATAAAATATCACTACATTTACTCAAGCAGTGTACCAATTGTGAGGTACTTCTACTCCACTAATGTAATATTTCATAGGAAAGGGTACTTGAATCCACTACATTTGTTTGACAGCTTTAGTTAACGTTACTTTAGATTAATACAAAATATAATCAACAAATAAGTTATGACGTATTAATATGTATTAAGATACCCGACAGTGTATAAAGTAGGTGAAATTAGCCCCATCTGCAACATTAGTGATGCTGACACATTTTACACATCGCCAATTACAATCCAATGATACATTATTCTGAAATGGGCCATTCTGCATAATTTGGTATTTTGTGTAATTTTTATGCTAGAACTCATGTATTTTTTTTTTTACTTAAGTAAGATTTTGAATGCAGGGTTTTTACTTGTACTATAACAGAGTATTTTTACACTGTAGAATTGCTAGTATTTAGTGCAAGATGCAAGTACTGTACACATTTGCCTGTGATACATATGGCAGTCAAGCATGACATATATGACATCTTCGAGACATCTTAGAATTTTGAATTAAAGTTAATAATCAGTCAATACAACACAAATATATACCTGTATATTTGTTTGTTGTGAAAGCTGTCCTCGCTTTTCTTTCTCCCTGTGAATAACAGGAACTGAGTGTAGCCTTTTACAAGCATCTGGTCCAGGAGCCCGAGTGCCAAGAGGAGTCCGATGAGAGGAAAGTTCATCTCCTGGGCTTTGACCTGGACGAGATCCTCATTCAGAGGGCTCAGCCGAACAACCCTCTGCCCGGCAGCATCTCCTTCATCACCCTGGACGTCACTAAAGACACCGACCAGCTGCAGCATTACCTCGACCAGCACGGCTGCTCCAACTTCCACCTGTGTCTGTGCCTGGCGGTCACCATGTGGGTCCACCTGAACCACGGAGACGCAGGCCTGCTGCAGCTGCTCTCTCGCCTGGCCTCCGTCAGCCAACACCTCCTGCTGGAGGCACAGCCCTGGAAGTGCTACCGCTCTGCAGCCCGGCGGCTGAGGAAGCTGGGCCGCTCAGACTTTGACCACTTCAAGACCCTGAAGATCCGGGGGGACGTAGCGGAGCAGGCCAGGGAGCACCTGGAGGGACACTGTGGCATGGAGCTCATCCGGAGCTTCGGCAGCACTACGTGGGACCGAAAACTGCTTCTTTTCAAGAGGAGATGAGACGTCAAGAGTTTCCATCTGCTGCTGCTGCAGGACCATGACCAGGAAGAGAAATCAACATGGGGAAGGGGAGAACATTTGAAAAGTCGAATTGTTTAGATGATCAACATTAATTTGCAATGATGATGGCAGTGTATTGTAAAAGTCATTTTTCAAGCAAAATGGCAAAAATGAGCCGGTTCCACTTTTACAAATAGATCTCTGGGTTTTGTTTTCTTGGTCGGACAAAACAAACAAATTGAAGATGTCACTTTGAGCTCTGGCAACTGCTGATCTACATGTTTTATATATTTCCTGACATTTTGTACACCGATTAATCCACGATGACAATTAGGGCAACAATCTTCAATTATTGATTAATCTGCAGATTAGTTTTTCAAGTAATCGTTTTTTTCTATGTGAAGAATGTTTATCAGTTTCCAGAGCTTGAGCTTTCAAATATCTTGTTTTGTCAAAACAGTCCAAAATCCAAAGATATTCAGTTTACAAATCATTTCTAAACTAAATGATACAAAACAGAAAAGCAGCAAACCCTCACACATGTACTTGATTATCAAAAGGTAGTACTAGTTTCACTAGTTGTTGCAGTTCTAGAGGAAAGGACAAATGAACATTAAACATAAATGTGGGTAAAACCTTGAGATACATTGTTTTTGTCAATAATTTCTCTAAATTATCCGATGTATGTAATTCACGTTTGAAAACATAACCCATCAATACAAACATTCACTTTGTTTACATTCATAAACGTGCAGATTAAATAATAAAACAGTTTCTTTATCAAACGTCTGCTTCCTTCTACATCAGAGCCGACAACCACAGTGTTCAATAACGCAGAACTACAAATCAAAACTTGAGCACAATTGATTAATTTTCATCATTTTAATTACAGAATACTAAAAATAACATTACATAAAATGTCTTTTTAAAAGAAACCATCAAATATTACAAAGGTTGTAAATTTTGTAAAGTTAGGATATAAAATCTTTGAACAGTGGTGCATAATTGAAAAGAAAAATAATTTTCATAAAATGTATATATTAACTGTTCTACTACATAAAAAATGAGATGGACACAAATTGCAGACAGACGAGATGAGTAGACACCGCCATTACCGCAGTGAGCTCTCCTTTCCGAGGAAGAAAGACTTGAGATGCACAGCACACACCACAATCAGCTTAAGTTCTCAAGTTATGTCTATGTTCAAAAAAAAAAAAAAAAAAAAAAAAAAAAAAGGGGTTACCATTTACAACAGGAGAGAACAAACAAGCTCGAGAGACTACAAAAAGTGACTTGGTGACTGCTCCCAATATTCACACACATCTCGATGTGTAAAAACCCGACTAAAACTGGCCTTGGTTCCGTAACACACAAACCGTTTCCCACAGGTTCAAGCTGTACAAAAGAGTCGCCAAACGTTGAGACACATCACACTTCAATTCATTCCACCAAGACAGGGAAGTAATGATCGGCTGTCTCTCAGTCTCGTCACACAGCCATTCCTATATCCTACTGTACAACTGGTCAGATCCACTGAACGCTACCATGGTCACATAATTCAATATCAGGAGGTCAACCTTGAGGAAGCGGAACAGACTATACACAAGAGGGGGGGGGGGGGGGGGGGTACACATGCATAATCCAACAGTGTGCTTCCTTTCTTCCTCTTCTTTCTGAGATTTACGTCGCCCTGCGTCACTTCATCACGAGCCCTTGTTAAGATTCACCCATCGAGGACACTCGGAGCCTGTTTGGTGCGCTGATGTCCCTCTACGAGAACGCCACACTGGCCAGTCGTGTCCAAACAGAGGTATTTCATTTGTCTCCTGCCGTTTGGGGAGACGTGTTGTGTCACATTTTTGGTAAACAGACACAAGGGGAGAGGGGGATCAACAGTTTATTACGTGTTCTTTCAAAAATGTCGAGATATGGTTTTAATCAAGAGTTGCGCTGAGTGTCAGAATCACTATTCCTTCTGTGCGGTAGTAGTGGTTTCAGTGGCCCATGAAGACCGGGTGGAGAGATGCAGAGAGAGGGAGACGGACGATAACCCAGAGACAAAGGACGTCTGAGACAACAGAGGCATTTTAGAGGAAATGAGGCGAGAGACACCAGCAGAGCTACTTGGGTTGGCTGGTTTTGTTGCTCGGATAGCTGGAGGTTTTTCTTTTTCTTTTTCACCAGGAATCCAGGAGCTGCTGCTTATCGTGTAAGGTAATAATGCTGTTTAGGTTCAGATGAGTCCCCCTGAGTTAGTGCACACGTCAGTCAGGCAGGCCTCGCCCGCTTGTTCGTTAAGAAATCCACAAAAAGAAGCATTAAGAAAAAAAAAAAGAAAAAAAATGAATTCAGCAATTTTATAATCAAGCTTACAATTAGCTTTGGAGAAAGAGAGCCCGTCGTAGTTCTACAAGTCTGCGATTGGGGAAGGACTGAGTCGATGTTAGTGTGGAAGAGGGCGGGGACAAGTTCAGGCATGAATACGCCGGCTCCCACAAAGTGGAGCCGCAAACCTCTTGAGTCCTGCTCATTTTCTGAAAACTCTGAGAAGTATGCATCTTGTGTTGTGAATGCGATGTGCGCTATGTAGTGCCCAACCAGAGTCTGGGTTGTGTGTGTGTTTTTTCTTTTTAACATGCTCATACTTTCATACTGTAATCTGATCATCTGACATGATTCCCAAGTGGTCGTTGGTGCAGGTCTGCCCAGCAGGCGAGTGGTTGGGGATCTGGTCAGGTGCTGGTGTTGCAGCTTACGCTGACTGTGCGTCAGACAGACAGACAGACAGACAGACAGGTAGGTAGACAGGCAGGTGGGGCCGTAATGGGACTCGGGAGCTGGAGGCTAAATCAAGGGAGCCGTGTCCATCAGGCCTTTGTTGGGGTCCAGGCTGGCAAAGAAGCGGACGTCCCGGTCCTTGTCGGACTGCAGGGCCATCACCGTCTCCTCCAGCTCGTCGGAGTAGGCACAGCCGGGCTCCTTGAAGTAAGCTGGACACAAAACACAACAGTTAGTTCAGGGAGAGAGCTATGGGATGTGCAGAGGCAGAGCATGTGTTAGAGGCAATATTCTATATATATTTGTGAAGTATTTTACGTCTTCAATGACTAATAATTAAGGCAAAGTTGGAAAAGTATTAAGACAAGCCAACACATTTAGATTTATTGATACTAACAAAAATACAGAATAGCATCAGCCTTAAGAAGACAACATTAACCAGTCATTTATTTTCACTGTACCTTTCTCCATGACACTCTGTCTTAGAGCCTTGGCCACCAGTACACGGACATTGGCCACCGGGTCAGAGGAGAGGCTGAGCAGGCTGGGTAAAAGGTGCTGGCCAAACTGCTCCATGGGCATGCAGTCCTCCTCTACGATCGCCTGCAGACAACACGAAGAAGAAGAAGAAGAAGAAGAAACACAAAGTCACTCAGACAGGCCGGTGTTAAAGACAGCTGGTCGAACACAGAAGAAGAGAGAAATGTAATTTCTGTAGCTCAGACAACCATCAGACGGGTACACAGCTGTCTATGTTGTTGATAAACAGGTAGAGAAACAACGCGGGAGACGCTGATCCATCACCTGGGCTACGTAACGTGAGACAAGCGTTACATACCTGGCAGATGAAGGCGAAGGCCTGCCGCCCCACCCACTTGGGACAGTGGCAGAACCTGACGGTGAGCTCGTTGATGAAGTTCAGGCCCAGGTCATCGGCTCCACATGCATACAGCTTCTGGAGGATCTCCACAACCTGACAACACAAAGAGGTGATGACGCACTTAACAATAGGGATTAAATACCGCAGTGAATCTGCAACAAAATGCAAATGTGTGTTTAAGGAGGTTAAGAATTAAGTTCAGAGGCAGACATTGGAGCATTAGGAGATGAAAAGATGCGATACTGTCTACAGTAGCTGTAATGATTGAAAATGCATATTAATGAATAGTTAAGAACATTTGAAGAAATACGCTTATTTGAGTTAAATGAGAAGATGAAGCCAGTTAGCTTAGCTTAGCAAAAAGTCTGGAAACAGGGAAACGGCTAGCCCGACTCCGTCCAAAAGGTAACAAAATCCCACTCTCAACTTTCTTTGAGGGGCGCAGTAACTTCCTTGTGTCCCGTCATATGACGAGCATTACTTTCTCACATTTAACCACAACACATACTGAACATCCTGCATCAGTGTGACTCATTTCCCCTTTTTCCCCCCATTCAAGTTTCTAACATATTTCCTCTCACTGGATATTCCTTCCACCAGCCAAAAGAAAAACAAACATATCAACATTGCACACTTACCAGTTTGTACGAGATCCACCTAACCTCTGAGACTTTGTCAGAGCAGAGTGTGAGTGCTATCTGTCTGAGGTAGTCATACACGTCGTAATGGCTGTACAACTCTATGATCAAGACCAACTGCCTGGATGGAGAGAGAGAGAGAGAGAGAACATGTACACTCTCCTGGAAATAGAAGTGCAATATAATAAACGCGTACAGTGTTATGAGAGCAGACCTCGGCCCCGCCATACCGTCTACGAGCAAGGCACTGATTGGAAGTCAGTCCGTTAAAACCTAAATGCAATTATGTCCTGCTTGGAAGAGGAAAAAGGAGACGTACTCTGCCAGCTCATATCTGAATCTCCAGTTGCGACTGTTGTCCGTCACCATGAACTCCTGCAGCTGGTAGAGATACTCTCTCCTCTTGTCTGCGTGCAGCAGCTGCAACAAGAAGACAGCTCAGTTATCTGGTACCAAACGTAAAGCAGACTGTGGTTTACTTCTTCAACTGCCAACATAAACTAAATCTAAACAGTCATCTCTTACATGAATATATTTGCTGAAATGTAAATGTCCTAAACTCAAACTGCGCTGTAATGTTACTTGCATAGTCAGCATTATATAAAAATTCTATAATCTCACCTTGAGGAAGTCGTAGAGGTGTTTGAGCACGCCAATGCGGACCTCATCCAGGTCTTTGAGGAAGCCGTTGAAGATGGGCACCAGGTCAGCTGCAGTCAGCTGGTCTCCCAGGATAACCGCCAGCTCGTGGATGGAGAAAGCCAGCGTCCGCCGCACCTTCCACTGAGGACCGGGAAGGAGAGGGAAAAGAAACGCACACAAAGATTATAAAACACAAGCCTTGGTAGAAAAAAGAAGCTGCTTTTTAAAAAGGAAAACAACCACTTATGGGTTTATTTTTATATACTGATAATGCAGGGACATGTTAAACAACAACTCCTCCTGTGATTGGTCTGAGTCCATTGTACAGGGCAATGCTGTCATGCCAGCCGTGACCCTCAGTGCTGTGATGGAGTAATGATCAAAAGTTTGACTGAGTGTCTGTCTCGCCGTCTCTGCTGCCGTGAAGTGAAGCAACAGTTCCCTTTCTTTCGTGCGTCACCGACCAATGCATTCGTACGTCACCGACCAATGCATTCGTACAACAAGTGCTTTGTTCCTCAAGTCAAGCTGAGCACATCACTGAACTAGGCCTGCATGGCATGAGGAGAATCTGGGATCTGTTATGTCAGCCTGGTTGTCTTTAAATTTAATATTTTAAAAAGAACTAGACTACATTTGGTTTATAGAGCAGAACACGATAAAAGCTCATTGATGTCTCACTGGAAACAAATCTAAAATGTCATTAAAATAAATGATCTTCCTGACATCAAACTACTGAATGAAGTTTGAGTAGCAGTCATTCCTCCAGTCCAACAGTTAAGACCACATGCAGACAGATGTTTTAGCTGGTGTAACCGAGGGGTTACTTTGCTCCTATACAGATGATCCGTAAGTCTGCACCGACTTTATGACTCCAGCCATGTCAACAACAACACCGCTTCACTGTTTCCGTTCCACCCTTCCCAATAAAATCCCCAGACACTGGAACACTGCTTACTATAGACAACATTAAGTCATTCAAAGCCTTCACTTAGAGGCAACTGACAAAAAATAGCTTACACTCGATTGTAACAGTTGGCTATTAGCCGAGCTAGCACGCTGTGCTTGTTTACAGCAGCAGCGGTTGATGAGAGACCGCATACAGAGCAAACTCAAATATTGCTCTCGCTTTTCTACATTTTGACACCATGTTTAGGCCTAACCCCTGACCAATAGGACCGTCCATTCAAACATTAACCTTGTGAAATTATCATAATTATCATATGAATAACTTGAGTTATGGTCAAAAACATGTCTGTCAACAGGGACAGTGGTCACAGTGACCTTTCACCACCAACATCGAATCAATTCGTCCTTACATCCAAGTAGATATTGGTGCCATATTTGAAGTAATTCCATCTAGGAGTTCCTGAGAATGTGGCGTTCATGAGAATGGGACGTACGTGATATGACGGATGGACAACGCGAGATATAGAGCTTCCTGCCACTGCTTTCACCGGCGTGGAGGCATAAAAACATGCATGCTTTTGTGAATGGGTTTCTTACCAACATGGCTGAGAGAAAATCTTGCAGCACTTTAAAAACAAATGACACTCACTCACTTCATTACCTTTAAAAATCCCTAAAACGCAGCTATAGACTCTCCCCGTATATGTCAGCACTATAGTTGATGTAACAAAGCCGAAGAAATCATTGACTCAGTGAACACAGACTGATCGAAACAAGCAGACGCAGAGGGAACTTTGCTGTTCTCACTGTGATGTACAAGCCAATGAGGCAGCGCTTCACTTCCTCACTAAATGCACACAGTATTCCCAAAAAGGAGATCGATTTCTTCACAAAGCCAGCATCTTATGTCCAGAAGCACTGCACCACACCAATCAGGAACAACTGAGAAAATTACCTACAAAATAGCTCAATTAGCCATTATTCAATCTATTTAACAGTACGATCATTGTACCGTTTAGAAAGAGTTATCTTGCGATTATCCATTTTGTTTTCTTGTGTAAAATGTAATTATTCAATAACATGTCATTTAGCTTTGGCAACCATGTAACCACAACATTCAAGCCAATAAAGCTTATTTGAATTTAGAGTAATTCAATAGATCCCCCCACACACAAAGCTTGGAAAAATTCACACAAATATTATGAATTGGTTTGGATTTTTCCCAGTAGAGTCTGACTGCAGTCGCGGAGGTCATTTACAGGGCTTGAATTGGGATTTGTTATGTGGGGGTCCTTTGTGGTTTCGGTGGGGGTTCCAATGGGAAAATATTTTGATTAACAAGTTCTAAAGCTTTATAATGCACTTTGGCACATTATTTACATTCAAAGCACGTCTTAATCATTGTAAACTGAAATATGTACCACAAAAACAGTTTGTTTTCCAGATTAATTATGAATTGAGACGTTAAAAATATTAGTAGTTGTTAGTAATTAGTATCGAGTAGAAACTGAATACTAAACTTTTTTAGGCACATCCCAAAACTAGGGGCGTGCCGACCAATTTCTGACTATGGATGATACCTCCTACAACACCACTTCAAACAATTCAAACTATCCCTTTAAGAGTGCTTATATGCGCTCATGTGGTTAATCACTCATTTTAGAATCAAACCGCAAACTTGACCCCACACCATCTCCCCATTTCTCTGCCTACCTGCACATCGGTAGCGAGGGTTTCATACGTGTCCTTGAGGCAGTGCCAGTTCTGTCGTCCCAGAGTGAGCGCTACCCCCGGCAGGCTGAAGGCACAGTGTTTGGCTATTTCTGTATCCACCGTCTGAGCCCGGGCCGGGTCCGTCATAGAGAGGTACTGATCCAAGAGCTGCTGGGGGATGACATTCTGAAGACGGGGCAAGAGATTGAAGAGCTTGATGATCAAAGAGGACACGGGATGCACCGGGAGAAGTTACTTAATAAAGTCTGTGCCCTCTCAACTACGAGGTTTTGATTAATATTTACGGGATGTATGACGGAAGTGCTGACTGACCTGGATCTTGGGCTTATCCTCATACATGGGGCTGTGAGCAGAGTCTTCCTTTCCCCCCTCCTCCTCATCTTCCTCCTCCACACTCTCAATCAGTTCAGACTCCTGAGGCAAATACAAACACACATTAGCGAAAAAGTGAGTGCACCGCACTTTAAAGACGCTATATTTTCTCATTACTCTTCAGAAAACTCACTCGCACAGTCCTGATTTACTAGATAAACTGAGTTTTTACATTTAAATAATCCCCGTCAATGCATCTTTTTCAAACTTTAACTTTCATTGTTGATCGAGTTATGAATATATAGAAATAGTTAAGATTTTAAACCGGAAAACAGGGCCCGATCACATACGATACATTTGTGTAGTGTTATAAATTAAAACCTACACATGCAGGTTTGCAGAAATCTCGTAAACCCTTTGCATCAAGTACAAATGCAGCTTAAGTCCAGTATACAACAGCTAACTTAACACGCTGCAAAGATGTGCATAGTCTCGTACTAGAATAGGCGAGTCGGGAGGAGACTCCTCCTGGTCATCCAAGGGCTCCGTCTGCGTCTCCTCGTCCCCTTGCTCCTGGACAGGGCTGGACTCTGAGGCTGAAGGAGGCTCCATCGTTTGCTCCTCTTCTGTGGGACTCTCTTCACTCTCGGCCTGGCTCTCCACAGACTGGCTCTCCACAGACTGGCTCTCCACAGACTGGCTCTCCACAGACTGGCTCTCCACAGACTGGCTCTCCACAGAGTGGCCCTCAATGTCGTCCTCAGGCTGCTCTTCTGGCTCAGGTTCAGTCAGGCCGTCGTCTGTGGGATCGTCGTCGTCGAGCTGGGCTGCCTTCAGAGCCGCTGACAACACCTGGACTTGAGCTGGAGATAAATTCACATGCATAACTCAGTCGACATGCCAATTCATTAACAAAAAAGTTTCCAGCTAATCCTACATATTCCGGCTCTGTATACCCACCTTGAACATCAGGGTCATCAATGTGCGGTTGCAAACGGTCCAAGACCTTCTGGATCTGGTCACTGGTAGCTTTGCCTGGGCTGGACTTGGAATCGGGATAACCAGGTTCCTCCTCTTCCTCCTGCTCCATCCCCTCCTCTGATTTATCACGATTTAGCATCTCCAGTTCCCCGCTTATATCTGGTAAAGGAGATCTCCAATAGTTGAAGGAATTAAAGTTATCGTCCGCCTGCTCCGTGTCTTTTGTGTTCTTAGCATTGTTTGTAGTCGTAGGGCTGGCGTTGCTGTTGGAGAACGTGCGGGTGAAGCCGCCGCCGCGCATCTCTCTGGGAACTGAAGTGTAGTTGTCTTCAAAGCTGTGCATTTCCTCGCCGTCCGCTGTAGACACATGCTCTGGGGACGGTGTGGCGCGGCCGTCCTGGTTGGGGGGTGTGTGAGCGATGGTTCTTCCCGTGTGGCAGACGCTAATCTCGGAGCAGTTCAGAGAGTTTAGGGAGCAGTCGCTGAAATTAGTGGAACAAAATGTATAAGAATAATCCGGTAAATGCTTATATCTAAAACAGAATAAAAGGAGAGAAGATATCTTATATCTTGTTATTAGCCTCTCTGTAAATGTGAAGAAATAGCTTCACAATCCAACACCTATAGTTACATTTTACCAACTGCATCTCAGCTTTAAGAAACCTTAAACTCTGGTTTAAAGTTGGTCAAACATACTCAAAGTGTAAATTAAAGCATTCATGAGGACATTTTCAAAGTCTATAAAAGTACAAAAGGTATAAAAGAAAGATTTGTCTGCGTCAACTTCAATTTCTTTTATTCCCGTTTCTGTAAATACACCTTTTTACAGAGATAAAAAAAAAAAAAAAAGTGGTCTGACCTGATCACACCAAGTAAACAATGAGTCATAGGACCAATGATGCAACACATTCACTGCGTCTGTGCACAACAAACTCTGATTCATGTCGCATCAACGCATATTGTGTTAGTACTGCCTGAAGTCAGGTGGTCTTACCTGTCTAATGTACACCTGGGGAGCTCTAGCAGGGCGCCGTCCTCTCTGAAGTGAAGGCCGGTGCTGGAGGGATTGGCGAAGGTGGAGATGAAACGCCCCAGAGACTGAAAAGCAGCCTGTCGCACCTAAAAGTGGAGCAGAGCAGAATCTGTCAGTGTCAGCACGACAGAGATTTTACATAACTCAGCAGCCGATCAGTTACCATCTTAACTCATTCATGAACAGGATTGTTAGCAGGAGGCACCATTTTAGAGGTTGGATATGGTCCAGAATATTGAATAGACGGGGACAGTGGAACAGCATGCACTTCTGTTTATAGTACCCCGAGCGTCTGCATACACAGACAAGATCACACACGTCCATCTGTGCAAACTACCCGTGTGGTCGTAAATGGGCTCCACGTGGACCCTCACAAACACGTGTAGACGCCAAAATTGACATGTGTCATTTTCAATTTCATGTAGACAAGTTCCGACTGAGCTTAAGTCTGGGACCCTTTGAGACCAAAACAATGACAGGGCTTCAAGCCCCATGATTATCATTTTTGCACCCAATTTGAAAGTACACCAAATTGCAAAAGTATCTCCGTTTCTCCATTTCTTAACATTTGCCGACCACTTGTTTTGCACAAACAAGTGTTTTTTTCTCTGTATGACTTTTTTAGATTTCAGAAAGACAGATTACATTACGAAAAATCCGGAAGAAGCTGCACAGTGGTGAGGAAAACAACTCTTTTCATCATATTGCAGAGGAAGTTGCACACAAATGTGCTTGTAATTTTATGCAATATCATTTTTCCTGTGTGTGTGTGTGTCTTACCCAGCGGGACTGGTCACTGATGAGGCTGATGAACAGGGGGGACAATTTTGCACGTCGCACCTCTGGAGAGGTAGAATTGGAGACCATCATGAAGCACTCTGCACAGGCTTTCCTGATGCCCCACAGACTGTCTGAGCACAGATCGAAGAACTTGGGCATCTAAAAACAAAACAGAGTCAGTTAAACCTGAAACTAACAGTGAGTGATTGAACTGTGATGGGATGCATCAACAGCAAGGGTGCAAAGAAACTACTGATATTCTGAAAGGACAGCAATGTTTAAACTTCCACGTTACATAATGAAGATGTAATGAGAGTTCTGGTTTCAGGGTAAAAAGGAAAGTCTCGGTGCTTCTCACCAGTAGTTTTTCTGTGGCTTCCTGACCAACAATAGAACAAAATTCTCCGAAATTTGCAGCACAGACCTGAAAAACATAAAACAAACATTCAAATGAACTCAAAAGAAGGGCAATTTCAATAACACTGTTACGAATAGTAAGAATTCTAAGAACATAATCATTACATTGACCGCTCAGGTTCCCCTAGGTCGAACTTCTTGAGCAATGAAGAAACAGACTTTTGTCTTTGTCTCCTGTCCTACGTAGTGGTAGTGACAAGCTGACACCGGTGTGGAGGACAGTGTTATAACAGTAGTGCAACTGTTCTGCTTTCAGGAATAGCTCAGTATGTAGTGTCTGTGGTTGAGTGAGAGTGAGTGAGAGAGAGCGCACTGTTGGTGACTTCATATCCTGAATATGATAATAACCAGGATAAACATCATAACTGGGAGACTCATGTCAATGTAAACACTCTCATTCAGTGTTTACACGACTCAGTAAATTTAATTTCCTCCCTGGCAGCTTAAGTTTAACAATTTTTTTAAGGTGTACATAAAATCAATTTAAATGTCAGCATTCCTTTAGCTCATATGTATTATTACTGACTGAAATGCTAACATCACATTCAATTTAAGCATTCAACTGGCACCAGTTACACCAGAAAACATTCCTCACAGAAAACAGCAGCACAGTGTAGGCGGTGATGCGCAAAACAGAATTAAAACTGACTCACAGCGTTATCGAATTTATTCTGACACAATTAAACTCAATTTAAAAACAATGTTTTCTCAGCTGTGTCTTATTGGTTCATAATCATTTTAAGCAACTACAGACTGTTAAAAAGTATGTTGAGCTACGAGGAGGTGATGACAATGGTTCGGAGGTGGTTACCTTGCGGACTTGAAAGAGTCTGGCGTCGCTGCACAGGTCACAGAAGCGTGGCAGCAGTAGATGCTCCACTGTGTCTTTGCTCAACATGGTGACAACTTTACACATCATCTATAAGAGGAGAAGTATGGAGAGCAATTAGTGTCATCACACTCTTGATTGTGCTTAAATTACAGAACTATTTTGCTCCGATGAACAAAAACAATCAGGGTGTTAAGAGTAGAGGGAAAGGGGAAGACTGTGTGTGTTTGTAAGTAGAATATAAATACAATAGAATATAAAAAGTCACATGCAACTTTGAGCCTTTGCAATAAATTTAAAATTAGGATCTGTAAATGAAATGTTTCAATTCATTCATTCAACACGTGTTGAAGTTATTGTAAACTTTTACAGTTCAATAACACATGCGCCATCAAAATAGAAGCATTTCGTTATTTTTAGACCGATCACCGTCAGATAAAGGCGTTGACCGATCACTGTCAGGCATTAACAGAAATCTGCTGTGCCTCTCAGCAGTTTGTCTACTGCCATGTGGTTTTCAGCTAAAGTTCATTCAAGTCCATTTCCCTGATAATAAATCAGACGGGTTTTTTTTTATTAGTCTCTTGCGTAAAAAAACATGAGGTTTCTTACAGAGACTGCCTCAATTTTGTAGTCATCATCACTGCTGGGTTCTGTGAGGTCCAGTAGAACTGGACAAACTTTGGACTCCATATCAGCTTTAGAGATGAGGCCCTGCTCCAACAGAACAAGCAGCGCTGCCTGGCTGGTCTTCCGCACCTGGAAAAGATAGGAGGAAGTTAAAATCTATAAAACTCCTAATGTGAATGAATTTGACTAGTGAACATATTCGTATTTCCTAAAATCTGAACAAAAAGATCTCAAAGACGAGAAGTGATTGCTGTTTCAATTGTAAAAGATGAGCTAGAAAAGTGAAACCCACCTGGTTATTTGGATCAGTGAGATATCGGACTACAATGGGGACCAAGTATCTTGAGAAAGCTGCTGGGAAGTTGGGCCGACTCTCGTGCAAGAACATGGCAATGTTGGGGACCTGCTCCATCAGTTCGGCTCGCACTGTGGGCTCTGAGTACACACATTGAAATATAAGATTTATGTGCAAACAGAACAGGTATGCATTAAGAACAAGCATTATAAGCTTGCAACCATGTGAAGATTTAATAAAAGAAAAAAAAAAAAAAAGACGACGCCACGGTCAAAAAGCGCAGATTAATACAGAGACACGACAACTAAATTGATGAAAAGGAAAACTCATCTACCTCCATCTTCCGACATTCTGGCAACTGTCTCCATGACACTGATAAAGTCATTCTCATTGTCACTGAACTCTCGAAGCACATCAAGCAGGCCGCGAGCCACGATCTGCCTAGAAAGCAACAGGAGCGTCAAGTTAGTAGACTGCCTGCCAATACCTACAAGTGCTGACTGCACACAGCGTGACACACGGCTCTGACAGAGCTGTCAAGTGCATTACACACAAACACACACACACACACACATTTGGAATCGACAGGAGGGCGTGAACCCTGCAAAGCCGAGCATGAAAAGCATGAAGACAGTTAACCGTGTTTGTGTGGGGTTAAGAGAACTGTTAAAGGATTTAGAGGATTTTTAATACACTGAGGCCACTTGGCAGGCATTTACCGCGCTGAAAGTACCACCATAAACACTTACAAAATATACAAATATACATAAAATCTAAATTTGTCATTATTAATGACCTATGACAAACTGCGGCTACTATTGCCATATTTCAGACAGACCACAGATGAACTTGAAGTCTTTCACATTCCTGCACTGCAGAGTTAAAGCAGGTATGTGACTAGTAAATACACAGGAATGCACACGGTGGTTCAGATGACTACGAAAATACATGTCTGGAGATCGGATGATGTGTTGATCTCACATTCAAAATTTCCGATGTGAAGTTTATGATACAATTTAGCCACTAATCAGTACAATTCATACAATAAATATGAAGAAAATAACATGTGCAACATTATCCCATTACTTATTTGAGCCAAAAAACCTTTCAGCAATGATTTAAAAATATTAACAGTGCAACTGATCCAATTTCTTGTTTACGCAATACATAAAATATAAAAACAGACAACAATTAGGTGCAAAAGTTATTGCTTAACAGTTTCCTCCTTCTACAAGAAATTACATTGGCCAGATGTTTCCTTGATACCAAGTCCCTCTAGGTTGCAGATGTTTCCGTGTTGTTAAGACTCAACGGGGGGTAATGCCCAAAAGAAATCCGAAACATTAGGACGTGTCTACACAACTGCAGATTCGTCAATTTTCATCACACAGAAACTTTTCGTGAGTGTTTTAGTTTTTAGTGATGTGTAACGGTACATTTGCAACTTCTACAATACAAGCTTTGTAGAATTTTTTTATTTTTTATTTTTTTTACTTTCAACCTCAGTTGCAGGGCAAATTGTTTTCTGTCCTACAATACGCATATCACTACGAGTTAACATCATACTATAAAGGGTTAACAATGCATCCTCATAACACAAAAACTACAACATCCGTTTGTTCGTCTGATGTTTAGCATTCTTTGTGTTAACAGCCGGACCACGGGGTTCCACTTACCTGTTGAAGACATTCTCACTGAAGGCATACTTTTCTAGCCTCCCAAGAGGAGTTAAGTTGTCTTGTCCCGCATCGAGGAAGGCTGTGATGCGGATGCCGTCGCACTCTGAACCATAGTCATCAAATCCAACTGTGATATAGAAAGAAATATTATTTTATGGTCAAACAAAGTGGAACCATCTCTGAAGCACAGAGCTGATGCCAACAAGAGACAAACATTTAAGCGAGGGCTGACAGATGCTCCACAGTAATCATAGTGCCATGTTGAAAAAAACTGAGTGAGGCTAAATGTCAGGAATGAAGCTGCTTCAATCTGTGACTAAAGTAGAAAGCCTGAGGTCTTAATAGTTATTCCATTTAATGGTCCGACCATAAATACACACTGGCTTTGCAGTTGGATCCAGACGCTGTTTTATCGCCCTCCCTAATGCAGACAACAGGGACTGTTGGCCTGTATGACGGCTAATAATAGCAAGGCGTAAAAGCCTGAAATATTATTGACAGCTTGATATTTCACACGGGTGAATGGGGTTGCCCGGAAAGATGACACTTGCTATACCTCCCTGCTGAAGGGGGGGAAAACAAAATTCCACACATATACAAGGAATGAATCCATTAATCCAGGTACTACTTAATGTGTTAACAAATTAAAATGACCAAAGTACTCACAATCATCCAGATCGTCATGGCCATCTTCAAAGTATAAAGATAGACCTGCAAGGATAAGGGAATTAGAGGGGGAGTCCACGGTGGCAAACATGTCATCAACATACCATCACATAATACCACTCCCCCTACAAAACGAAAGGTGCTCTGGGTCAGCAGGTTTACCGGCTGACATTTACTAAGAAAGGACAAAGTCTCCTTCAATAAGATTGACAGAATATTGAAGTGGTCTTGCTGATAAATCACTTTGCAAAAGTGAAACTATGACATTGTAGGTGTAGTGACGTGGAAGAGGAAGAAATCAAGTCAGTAAATATAAACGTTGTGTTTTTCCTGGGACGCAAACTATTGTCTTAGTGGATTTTCTTTCAAACACGTGCGATTCCTCTCAAATAAATCAATATATCAGAAATAATCTAAGCGTTCCATGTGCACAAAATTAATATGGTGTCATTGGTCATTTCAGTGTATACAGCTTTCATTTCCTTCATGTGGATATTCGTCTGATGAAGACATGTTGGGTCAAAACGCTGCCAATAGAAACTTAAGGAACCTCTGATTTCAGAGGTACTTTTCTATTGTACATTTATGTATTTCGTCTCTATTCTTTCTGCAAACACGAGACACTCAACCCACCACAGGAATACATTGCCTCAGGTGCAGCTGTTGAATTTCATTTTTATACCAATTTTCTTGTCTCCTCACCCATTTCTTGTCTCAATACCCTTGACATATATCTTTGATGTATATAGTAGAGTACCTTTATCTTCTACCATGCTTTATTTTGAGTATAACAGTTGCTCATAATATATTTGATCATCTATACTTTGCATCTGTCCTTGCATTTCTGTGACATTTCAATTTCCCTGCATAAGATCCATTAAGTTGGACTATTTACATTCCTTGAGATCAAATCACAAACATTTGTTGGATCACTTGGACACTGTATTGCCTACATTAGTGACAACATACATGTATCCTGTGGTGTGATCTATTTATTATTTTTAAAATACTGCACAAAGCAGGTACTTCACATTAGCACGCAGTCCAAACTGATGAACACACACTACTCATATAAACACCTTATTTTCAATGCATTAACATGTTTGTGTGATAACGTAACAGGCCGATTACTACAAGACGACTTTCTTTCCTGGTCTGTTTTCAACACCACCCATCCATTGATATAGGACACAAGAACTCAGAGTAGTGAAGTCAAGAGAAGAGCTCAGAGAGAAGTCCCAGAAGGAGAAGCATGTGCTGGGACGGCTAATGCCAGTGTTTACAGCTGGGCATGCAGGGGAATGTGCTGCAAATATTAAAACAACTCCCATCTCCATAAGACACATTAAACGTGCTGTGTTAAGTGTGAAGTAAATAACGTTACGCGTGGTTTACCAGCACCCCGCAAAACATTTTGACAAAGAGCTGCATCTCCCCTTTGTTACGGTATAAAGGAGGATTTGATCAGCTTAAGGCTGAAAATGACTTTAGCAACTCAGCTAACGTAAGCTAGGTCAACTCGCTAGCCTTTGCTATGACAACAGTTCGATATTAAAACACGGCTTAAAGCACGCGGTGCTGTCCTACTCTAGAAGAGAGAGGCAACTACAAAATAACCGGCCTCTATTGAGTAGTTATATGTTTAAGTGAAGCCTCAAAGTCACACATTTCGATACCCATGAATAGCTTTCTTTAGCTAGCTGGCTAGCAGTGCTAAGTTTGCTAACAAGGCTTGTCCAGCGCTTTCGCTTGACTTGGCTCGCCTTTGCTAGCACTTTGCCGGGGAATACCATGAATGCAGTGAAATAGGAGCCGCTGTTTCAAATATTGATACTATAGAGACTGCAATGCAGCTTTCTAAGTTCACGCACAGCGTCAAAGTATTAGAGAAAACACTATTTGAAAAGTGCCCTTACCTGCCATCTTGAGTCTCGGCTCGGCTCTGCGGGCTGCCGTCCCGTGTGGGCTGTCACCGCCGCTCAGCTGTCACTCAAACACGGTAGAAACTACTTCCTGAAGGCACTTCCTGATGCTGGGATTCACCGGTAGATTATATTTTTAACAACCCAAACGTAAAACCGTTTCTCAGCTCGGGCACAAACTCGACATAACTGAGCGGAAATAAAAGCCTGTGGGCTTTGTGTGTTTCTCCAAACAAAAAAGAGCCCATGCAGTCACGTGACCGCAGTCCGTAGTTCAAGATGGAGACAGCGATCTGGTGGCTCCACTGTTAGCTAGTTTACAATCATCACAATATGGCTAATACGACGGACTACTGGACGCTTTAACGCGAATAGCGAGAGGTAGAACTTAACCTGAGATGCGCATCTTTCCGAGATGAAGTGAAGTTGTTTGTGAACATACAAAACGAGAGGAATAGTCAAGATTTAAAGGTAACCAGAGGAGAAAACCGCCAATGGTCATCATCACCAACTCATTTTGAGTGAGAGAGGAGATCGATATGGCGCTGAGAGAGTTAAAGGTTTGTCTCCTGGGGGTAAGTCAGCATCGATGTATATCTGAACACGTATGTCTGTAGCCGTCAGTGTACATCTAACTGTACCTGTGGCATGAAATGATCCACGCTGTTCATCCCCCAGGCTCTACATACCGATAGACAGGTGTGTTTAAAAGAGTTACATGTGTTGAATCAGTCTCACGAACAACATGTATGCATGTCTGAACTGTATAAATCAGCATAAACCCATAGGTTTTGCTACCAACATACCATCAAACCATCCCTGAATGACATCACATCCCCTCCTCATTATCTACTAATAAGCTGAAAATAGAGTTAATAATACAGTTGTTTAGTCGATCAGTAGAATATTAATCAGCAACAATAGTTCGAGCACTTGCTGATTAATATCATTTGCACTGTTTGTCAGACAAAACAAGGCATTTGAAGGTGTCGCCATGAGCCACTGGGCATTTTTCACTATTATTTACATTTTATAACCTTGGGTTTCAGACCTCATCCTTATATAGCTTCCTTAATTATCATTACTGGTTTCTGCTATTTCAAAATAAGTCACGGGAACAATATTTATGGAAGTGCAGACAACAGCAGGCCTCAGTTACTTTACCATTATGCCGTTGATACGATACTGATGTAACATCCATCCTCACATCTCTCCATCACCTGCTCATAAGATTTAAATAGAGCTGAAACAATAAGTCCATTTATTGTTTCGTAAAAAAGTCAAATGTTTCTGTGGTTCCACCTTTTCTAATGTAATGATTTGATGTGCTTCTTTTCTGTGTTTTTACATCCCAGTAAATTAACTTTATTTTGTCTTTAGACTCTTTGTCTTTTGCTGGGTATTTCTTCACAATTATTTTACTTCTTTTTGACTGAAGTATTCATTGTTTTTTTCCAAAGAATGACAATGAGAGTAATGGGTGATGGAAATAATCATTAGTTGCAACCCAAATAAACCAGTAATGTTAATTAGGACATTTTATATAAGACTTTTCTAAATTACTGTTTTTTGCTGCATAAGATAATTACAAATCATTCACAGGAGCAACATTCATCCGTGTCTATACTGCATGTAACAACAGTATAAGTAACATTTTCACATCTCCTCTGTTTCCTCAACAAATAAGATTTAAAAAAACAACAACGTAAGCTTAACTACGTCTGTCCTGTTTAATCACAAAGTGCAGGCCTACGAGGGGAACAGGAAGGAAGAAGATGCCATGAAAAAGCAATAATGTCTGGGCATGTTGCCAGAGAATGTGTTTTGGTAATTGTGATTATACTTCTAGTAATTGTTTCCGACCATGTTTAGTAAGCATCGTCTTTATTTTGTCTCTGCAGGACACTGGCGTTGGAAAGTCGAGTATTGTTTGGAGATTTGTGGAGGACAGCTTTGACCCAAACATCAACCCAACGATTGGGTAAGTTCCTGCTGTCTCCCACATGAGAAGTTATTCTGTGTTTCATTGGGTTGTATGTCGGGTTGTTGCAGAACACAATCATGTAATCAGTTCATTTCTGTCTATTTATGGATTAATCAATTCCTATAAGAGCTAAAAGGAATGTAAAATTAATCAGCAACATTTCTGATAATCAATTGATGTTTTAAATCACTTGCAAAATGCCAACGGTTTTCACACGTGGGAGGTTTTTGGGTAACAAGCAGTTTGAATGTGTTGAGCTTTGGGAAACTTTGATGGGCACATATTTATTCATGTATTTATTTACTATTTTCTCAAAGTCTGTGAATCAAACAATTAATTGATTAATTAGGGAAATAATTGGCAGATTACTCAGAATGAAAACAATAGTTTGTTGCAACCCTGATTCCAAATCCAATAATTATCCATTTTATTTATTTAGCAAATAAAGAGACACAATATTTGCTGGTTTCAATTTCACAAATGCAAAAAAGTTGTTTGCTTTTCTATAAATGAAACACTTTGTTTGTTTGTTTGTTTTGCTGTGGGTCAAATCAAGTAACACATTTTTAGACATTGCTTTGTGACACTTTTTAAACATTTTGTAGACAATATGATCAGTCAGTACCAGAGCCCGACCAATACATCAACTCATTGCCAATATTATAATTTAACAATTTTAGCTTGTCTCAGATATACTTGTGTCAGCATTTGTAAGCTGATAAATCACCAGACATTGCTGTACAGAAGTGCCAGATAAGTTTGAGGCAGATTACAAACAATCAATACCAAATGCTGGTTTTGTTATCAGCCTCAAAAGTACAGTATCGGTCAGACTCTAATTGATATAATGTAAGTCCTATTTAATATTTAACATTTGGGATGTTATCGTTCACTGAAGCCTGCAGATAATTTAAGATATCTTAAACCAACTGATGATCTAAATGAAGATTTGTGTTTTTTTCATTGTCTCAGACTCTTTAGTTGCAGTTCTATTATCTGTCTATCATTTTTATAATCGTGAAATCTATTTAGTGTTTTTGTAATGTGACATAGCACATCAATCATGAAGCAATTTCTTTTCACCAGGGCGTCCTTCATGACCAAGACAGTGCAATACCAAAACGAGCTGCACAAGTTCCTGATCTGGGACACGGCAGGACAGGAGCGGGTCAGTAATATCCACTGAGGTTTTGGCCTCAACATTCTTTTAAAAATGGACTAGTGGAGAGTAAACCAAGAGCAAGATTCACATGTGTTTAAGCTTTACGCAGCCAAACCACAACGGTTTTCATTTTGTAATCGATCAGTTTGACTTGGCGTATTCAAAAATCTACTTATTGCTCCCTCGTGGTTTAAAGGAAGTGAGAAAGCTACCTACATGTGTGAATGGACCACTCCCTTAACTGGGAGAAAGTGCAGTTCTTCATTACTTCAGATAGGGGGCAACATTTACCTTCCTATAGGTAGAGTCCTGCCTGCTAACCAAAAACCTACTTCTTCTGGTGCTCTTGGTTTAGGACCACTTTTTTAAATGACACTCGCGATGTAATGAGTTTGTATTGTTTAGATCAGTGAGTGGCATATGTTTGGATTATTAAAACATGATTTGTCATTTCTGTCACCTTTTAATCTTCGTCCTGCTTCTCATCTATCTTGGGGTTTGAGTACAATTTTAGCATTCAAGCATGTCTAAACGTCACCAAGCCCCAGACAGTGATAGCGTGAGGAACTACTTTCTCTTCTGACTCGCACCCTGCATCCCACATTTCTCTGCTTTAGCTCTCCTCATCACTTCCCCTTTTTCTGTGCATGCCCTTCTGTTTTTCCTCATGCACAATCCTCTGTTGTTGTAATGTCTTATCCCTGCTGCTGTCCTCTCCAGAGAGGTGAGATAAGATGCCGTTTGTCTTTTATCCTCCTTTTCCCCTGGGGGCCTCGGCTTCTTTGTGGCCTTGAGGGGACATCAATGCAGCCTCATTTAAGATAAGATGGGTGGATGAAACCCAAGCTCTCTGAGCCCACTGCTGTGTGCTGCCACCGTGTCTTATCCGAGAGTCACTCCAACTCTACATCCGAGGGTCCTCCTTTTCCCCCTTTGTGTTTTCTCTCATGAAAAGTTTCTTTTCATTTCTTTTCTTGGCAACAATCTATTTATTTCTGTGATTCTTTTGTGTTCTCTTCCATTTTCTCCACTTTTTTCATTCCAACAAATCCGCTTTTTCACTCCCATGTGGCCTCTCTGGGTTCACGTCCGTGTGTGAAAAAGTAGCAACATTCCTTTGGTAGGTTTGGCGTGTGTGTGTGTGTGTGTGTGTGTGTGTGTGTGTGTGTGTGTGTGTGTTTATACAAAGCTGCTGTGGTATTTTGAAGCCTTTCGTGGCTTGTTTTCTAACTTTTGTGGAGCTTTGGCCTATCAAAGTCTGTTGAGTTGAGGAAGGGGAACACAAAGCCAGCCAATGCACATGGAAGGAGAGACCAAGGCAAAAAAGAAAGCTCTGTGATTTCTAATCCATCCAACAATCCATATCTCGAGACCAGATGAGCCCAGCTGTCAACAGCTCGTCAAGTCCTCCCCCTCTGACGAAAGGAATCTTGCATCCTACTAGTATAGGAAGGTTTCTTTCATTATTTATCAAACTCGTGGTTTTACAAATTAATCAGCGCTCGTGAGGCATCACTGGGGCTGTTCACTGGGCTGCTGTGTGGCCAGACGTCTGGCCTCGCTGTGATTGCTCTTTGGGTTTAGGCTGATCTAGACCACACAGGACTGGTGGTGGTGGTGCAGCCCAACACTAGCCGATGAAACAGACAGCACTCTTTTCAGTGCCCCTGCCAAATATCCCAAGTTGGTTGGATTCCCGTTGGTGGACTTGGGGCCAGTAACAACTATAATTATGTGGAATGTGTGCTTTCCTGAGGTAACAGTGTCACACTAAGATGGATAGTTTATTCCATCGTATTGTAAAGGAAAATGAAATTGGCGGGAAGGCAGGGTCATTCCAAGTGAAGGTCGTTTTCAGACATGGGTTGGTCTTTTAAAATAAATATCCTTAGTTAACACATGATACATGGTTTTATTAGTCTGTTGAAAGCCCCAGTCCAGCAGAGTATAATGTGAGAAGGCATGAAAAATAAAAACTAAAGAGTTGGTGAGGTTTTTGTTAACGTTCATATTTTAAATATACTGTATGTTTCCTGTAGAGGCAATAAACATAATGGAGAGAAAGCACTAATAGTTCACATTTGTTACATCAGAAAGTTATTTGAACAGTGAATGAATGGATTCATACTCCACCTTTGTGTTACAATGCCTGCAGACATGAGCAGCTACAGGGCACAACACAGCTGCTGTTTTCTACTTGCTTCTATGATCTTTATAAAGTTGATGGTTATCTAATTATTGGTGGTTTTTGGAAAGAGGCGGAAAAGACCACTGCCTGAATTGAAAAATGGACCCAGATAAAGATGAAAAAGATGGCCATGCCAGTGGCTTTGTGAGGCTGTACTAATGATAACATTAGCAAATTAGGACGAAACAGAAAGTACAGCTGAGGCTGATGATTTGGTCATAAGCCAAAGTATTGGAAACAATTTAACATTTACTTGATGGCTAGATGAAAAGTCACCATGAAGGGAACATGAATGTCTAAAACCAGTTTCAGGACAATCAATATGACACCGATAGTTTTTGAGATATTTCACTAAAAAGCTGAATGTGGACTTCATGGTGGAGGAGGGGAAAGCCGTCAAAGCCAGGAGGCACAGTGAATATTTCTACCACATTTCTTGGCCGTCCATCTAGCAGTTGTTGAGATATTTCAGTCTGGACCCAAGTGGTGGGCCGACTGACGGGCTGACAGACTGTTTTATGACGGCAGGCTAATTGTTGAATCCAGGTTTCAATAAATATTGGAAAGTATTTTACCAGAAAAATACCAAAAGCTGTCAAAAAGAAGAACCCCCCCCAGCTTCTCAGGCAGCGATGGATTAAAAAAATGCACATGTTGTTTTGGTTATGCAGGGAAATTGTGACTTATAAGGATCAAATGTATAGTTTTCCATAAATATCAAACAGCTAACGGCTCTTGACACATTCTGCCCATCTTTCTCTTGATGGCTACCACATGTGTGAGGTCTGGGTGGAAAGACTTGCTATACTTCCATTTAAAGTAAAGCCACTTGGCTTATAGGCTCAGAACACTTGGCCTCTGGTTTAGTAAAATGGTACTCTGGAGTCCTTTTTTTTTTTTGTTGTGCATTTGTATACTCTGTTTTGAGTTTGTCACAGTCAGTGCCTATGTAACGGATTATCCATAGTCTATAGAAAGCCAAGGCACTGTTTCCTGATCTACGTGGTGTAAAAATATATAATTGTGTTATACTGCAATGATATTTTGATTGCCCTTTTCATATACAATAATAAAAAAAATGGAGTAAAATCAAGGAAACCAGTCTTCAAAGATTAGCCTTTTTTATTCTTGGTCTGTACTCTGATCATCATCATGTTCCGTTTCACATGGTTTCAAAGCTGTATGAGTATGATACGATGTAGATTTGGCAGAGATGAAGGTCCTTTAGAGGCGTTAGACACACCAGCCTCCTCCCTGTCCAACAACACTCATCATTGCTTGCTTTCTCTGTCTTCTCATAGTTTCGGGCTCTTGCACCAATGTACTACAGAGGCTCAGCGGCAGCCATCATTGTTTATGACATCACGAAAGAGGTATTATTTACGTTTCCTCCTCAACCACTTATTCACAAAGTACGTACTGTAGAGTTTCATTGTTCATTGTTTTCATTGAATAGTTTGACATTTTGGGATATATACTTATTTGTGTCTTGCCAAGCGTTAGCTGACAACATTGATACCACTCTCATTTCTGTTTAGTTAATATGAAGCCACAGCCAGCCCTTAGCGTAGCTTAGCTTAGCTTAGCATAATGACTTGAAACAGTGGGAAACAGCTAGCCTGGCCTGGCTCTGTCTAAAAGTAATGAAATCTGCCTACCTGGAACTGTAAAGCTCACTTATTAACACCTTATATCTTGTTTGTTTAATCCGTATTTAAAATACCACATGTAAAAACAATGATTCACCCTCTTAAGAAGGTTATGTTGGGAGCAGCTGGCAGGGAACCGGCAGAGACTACAGGAAGTCTCTGCAGACCCCTGTGAAATGGAAAATGTACATTTTAAAATAACAAAGACATATTAATTTGTGAGCTTTCGACGTGTAAAGGATTGTGTTACCTTTGGTCAGAGCTTCCAGTCTTTATGCTAACCAGCCGCCGGCTCCAGCTTGCCATAAAGACAAGAGTGCTATCTGTCTTTTAATCTAACAAAAGCAAATAATCATATTCACCAAAATGTCAAACTAAAACTTTAAACCTTCCTGGGAGGCACTATGTGCTTGTCTTGATCTGTTCAGTTTAACATGTTTTTTTTTATCTTCAGGAATCCTTCCAAACACTAAAGAACTGGGTAAAGGAGCTGCGCCAGCATGGTCCTCCTAATATAGTGGTCGCCATCGCTGGCAACAAATGTGACCTGTCAGACGCCAGGTGAAGCCGAACTGGAGATAATACTGTATGTGTCACGAACTGTTGATGCTAGTGTGCAGTATGAAGGTGCCTCCTCATTTACAGCTTGAGAGTGATGATGGGATTTCAGATTACTGGCGCAGAAGGAAAAAATTCTTGTACGGAAATGTTATGACGTGTTTTAGTGTCGGAATAACATCTGATGTTTGGCTTTGAAATATCGTTGGAATTCACCGTGTCTGGAGCTGAAGTGGATTCTGCTCTGCAAGGGGGAATGTCGGCTCTCGTACTGAAGTATTTGAAGATAATTTTAGTTTCTCTGTGTCTTCCACAAAATCTCCCTGACTCGGACACATGTGCTTTTGATAATGTCATCCGTGAAATTGGGAAATCTTCCACATAATAGCTGCGGACTTACATTTTGATGGTTATCAAGTAATGCATGAAATTGGAGAATCTGTTCGCATATTGCGACATAATAATTAAATGCCTCTTGTATTTACAGGGAAGTGCCAGAGAAGGATGCCAAGGACTACGCTGACTCCATCCATGCCATCTTTGTAGAAACCAGTGCCAAGCATGCCATTAACATCAACGAGGTGTTTATAGAGATAAGTGAGTGTGTTTCTTGAGTGCCTGGTGCCGTTGTACATCCCCTGGTTATTATTGAGCTGTGACAAATTAAGCATCGTACAGCATTAAGATTATTACCTTGTCTCCCTTTGTGTTTGAAAGCTGGTAGACTATATTTGAAACAGAGTTACCAATTAGAGGTTTAGTTTCTAAGTAAGTGTAATCATTCTTTTCTGTGACTTCTCACAGCGATGAGCTAGTTTGGAGTAAGCAACAGATAATGCCAAAGCAGAAAGCCAATCCACTTAATCATGTCGACATCCTGACATTCAACTTTGAAACACACATTTGCAGAGACGAGGGTTTGTGGGAGCAGTCGATCCAGTTCTGAGAAGCAACTGATTATCACAAAAGAGACTTACTCACTAGTTGTGCCCGAATTCCATACAACATATTTATTCTAGGTTGGTTTTGAGAATGTAGTATGTTCAGACAGGAAAAGTAGAGAAATTAAGGATATATATATATATATATATACATACATACACAGTGAGTACGGAAAGTATTCAGACCCCTTTAAATTTTTCACTCTTTGTTTCATTGCAGCCATTTGCTAAAATCATAAAAGTTCATTTTATTTCTCATTAATGTACACTCAGCACCCCATCTTGACAGAAAAAAACAGAAATGTAGAAATTTTTGCAAATTTATTAAAAAAGAAAAACTGAAATATCACATGGTCATAAGTATTCAGACCCTTTGCTGTGACACTCATATTTAACTCACATGCTGTCCATTTCTTCTGATCCTCCTTGAGATGGTTCTACTCCTTCATTGGAGTCCAGCTGTGTTTCAATAAACTGATTGGACTTGATTAGGAAAAGCACACACCTGTCTATATAAGACCTTACAGCTCACAGTGCATGTCAGAGCAAATGAGAATCATGAGGTCGAAGGAACTGCCCAAGGAGCTCAGAGACAGAATTGTGGCAAGGCACAGATCTGGCCAAGGTTACAAAAGAATTTCTGCAGCACTCAAGGTTCCTAAGAGCACAGTGGCCTCCATAATCCTTAAATGGAAGAAGTTTGGGACGACCAGAACTCTTCCTAGACCTGGCCGTCCAGCCAAACTGAGCAATCGTGGAAGAAGAGCCTTGGTGAGAGAGGTAAAGAAGAACCCAAAGATCACTGTGGCTGAGCTCCAGAGATGCAGTAGGGAGATGGGAGAAAGTTCCACAAAGTCAACTATCACTGCAGCCCTCCACCAGTCGGGGCTTTATGGCAGAGTGGCCCGACGGAAGCCTCTCCTCAGTGCAAGACATATGAAAGCC